TTTTTTTGACCGATGGGGAGGAGGAGACCCCTCAAAAAACGTTTTGCGGGGGTTCCCCCCCCAAACAAAACCCAAAACCCCACTGAGTCCAATTCCCCCCCCCCCCCCCCCCCAAAAAAAAGACAAAAGACAAAAGAGAAAAAGAGAAAGAAGAAAAAAAGAAAAGAAAAAAATTGAACGGAGCCAAGGGGACAAGAAAAGGCACTAACCTGATTACTGTTCATTTCGAATTTGCGCACAACCTTGATGGCGACTTCGCCATATACCGTGGTCGAATCTTTGGCGCGATAGACGTTACTGAAAGCACCATCACCCATCTTCTCCACTAGGATCCAGCGGTCCAGCCCGGGGTATTTGGGCATCTTTGATCGAGTCACGTTCTCTTCTTGTACAAGACGTTCAATCTCCACGGAGCGGTCCTTTCTAGCCTGGGAGTCCGGTTTTTGAATCGCATTTTCTCGGCCTTCCGGGCCAAAGGCTTCTAGGGCAGGTGTGTATTGACCAGGTGGTAGCCGTTGTGGCTCGGCATGAATGGTGGAGACATCGGTCGTGGGCTCGGAATGAGGGGTGACAAGGCGGGCCTGCTTGCCATGCCGAATGAAGTTCTTGATGTTCTGTATCGTACTCATAATGGGAGATCGTTGAGTCGTGAAGGGGAAAGAAATGGGATGAGGAAAACACAGATGTCGCAATCGAAGCAAGAGTTTCCAAAGTGTTTCAGATGTCAAATATCAAACCAGACGTCGAGGATAGCAGAGAACACACTAATACAATGAAGTAGCGCGTGGAGACATGCAAGAAAAGGGAAGAAAAGGGGAGGAAAATGATGGCGGGGGAGAAGAAGCTATGACGAAGTGTGATCTTCGGGTGCGATGTCATTTCTGCCAAGACTCACCATCAACATCCTGTTCGGCTCGGTTTTCTCCTTGGACGTCATGCTACGCCACCGCTCCACCATGAGCTCAATCTATATCTCACACGGATTCCATATAGTGCTGGCACTATTGATCTTGACAGGCGCAACCCTCGATTTCGAATGATTCTCCTGTTGCTTTTGGCTTTTGACCCTGTCATTTTTAGATGGAATCCTACAAATTCAACCAGAGTACAGAATACGGAGTGTTCACGAGCAGGCACATCACCCCCTGTTCCTTCTCCAACCTAAGCTCCCCTCACACAGAAAACACCGGTTCCCGAGACCTGATTTCCCAGGCTTCAACCTTGGTCTGGTGGAGATTACATAGCGTCATCACCCGTCGCCACATACCTACCTCCCACTTCCGGGAATGGCCAGAGAGCCAGTCTCATATATCTGATCCCCAGATCTCATCCTCGCGTTCTATTATCCAATCTAAGCTTTTGCCCTGATTCGTGCGCCTGGATACCCAATATCCGATCAGAGACAGGGCTGGATTGTTGGGTTTCAAAGAGGTCTGCACCGGCAAAAACACCCAGGGCTGCAAGAACGGCCTCATTCCACATGTCCCGTAAAAGCTGCATACATATTGAGATCGTAAAAACTGCTTTATAGATAAAAGTTTGACTGCAGACTCCACCTAGCCTCGACTTTGTCGATCAGGGCCGGTTGGTTGACCAATGTGTGCAATGATGAGCGTCGGCATGGCCACACATGTCCACCTCGAATTTTCCATAGTTCCAAGCCCTCGGAGTGCGGAGTAATCGAAGGCTTAATAATCTTCTTGGAACAACCATATCTAAGGTACCCAGGGCTGGAGATTGCTGCTGGTCAGGTACTTTGCTTTCAGCCCGACCTCGGGAGCCAGGCTTCTGGTAGATCCAAATCAACAACTCCAAATAAATTGAGGCCATGCTATTTGTACTCCATACTTTCAGTAGAAGATGTGTGTGTGTGTGTGTGTGCGTGGTTAAACAGATCTTCAGCGGACCTAAGCCTTCAAAACTGAGACGAACATACACCTGAGCAACCTTGAAATACTGTCTACACTATACATGTGCAGGCTAAGGGCTAGATCACTATCCCTATCTGATGGAAGATAACTCATCAGTCCGTCTACGTCATCTCTGTTTTTGTTTATTTACGTATACACATCGCACACTTCGGGGCTGAACTTAGATTAAATGTGTACGGAGTGCTCGTAGTTCAAGGGTAGTGCGCACAAAATCTTAGGAGTTCTAGGCCTGCTTAGACTAGTCCCACCGGCTGTGTGAGAACCAAGGAAGTGGATGACCTGCGACCTTGGAATTTCGACGGTTCGTCAACTCTGTCATTCAGAGTGTGGTCAATCGATACGAGTTGTGAGTTGGTTACTCCGTACTCCGTGCTCCGTACTGTGCTGTGTACTCTGTACACTCTCTCCCACAGGTATGGAGCACAGCAGAAAAACCGACACCAAAGAGGGATAAATGTTTTGGTTAGCAAAGGGTACTCACTGTTAGTACGTACTCTATACTTCACTCAGTATTGGAAGATGTGTCGAATTACGCTTATCTGCTAGTCTGTGGTATTCCGAAGAGCCTCTGTTACATGGTTTGAGATGACGCGCATCCAGTATGTTGTAGTCTTACCCAGCACTGGCATGTTGACTTGAGACCTGCATCAAGGGTTTGATACACCAAGCAAGGAGTTCGAGTATCACTTACGGCAGGTTATCTGGAGCATGATGCCACTAAATTTTTAGGACTGGCAGAAACATTAGTGATCATAAGTCAAATGGATCATGCTGCATAGATGGATGTCTAACCTTCGAAGGTCCACGCCGTAGACAGGTGCCACAGGTGTGCCCATCGATGCCCCAATCCTAAGGCACTCCTGTGAACAACCTCGCATTCTCTCTCTCTCTCTCCCGAGGTCTCTTCTTAAGGATCATTTCAAAGATCTTTTTAGTACACCTCATCTCCATACCAATAAATGCAACTAAGAACTAACTGATACATACCAATCGCCGCTTCCGCGCCCATATACATTCAATATTTCATCGATGATCTACTCGTAGACTGCTGGGGCGACCAAGGTGGTAATCAAAAAGGTGAGCGGTCCTTCGCAGTCCCCAAAGAATTTATTGGCACGATGCTTCAGATGTATGTACATGTAACCTGCCATGGCTGGTAATATTTGAAACATGTATGGGAATCGAGGGATCCACATGGCCTGGGATATTGAGATCTCGTCGAGACAATACTGAAGCCATACTCGTACTTCACAACTATAGCATACTTCCTACAGAGCACTCTGAATGACTTCAAACATCACTGTATGGAGTAAGATCGACTTCAGGAACTGTAGATCCCGAAACCAAAATAAGGCAGCAAGGCACTCATAGTTCAAGAATCCTCATAACATTGGAGTTTAACGAAGTAAATCACCCTTGAGCTTTGTTTACTCCTCCATACAGCATTCTCATTGTTTCATTCTTTTCTAATAGATTTTATTTGTCCAAGTTGAAACAGAGGAGGGGAGTTCCCCAGCCACTCGCCAATATTGTCCACACTCCCCACCTCTACGACTCACATCACACAGACAGGCCGAGCCTTCGCCTAAGCATACAATAGCGAATCGTTACTTATTATTGACTTGAATGCACCGCGACCGATCGCCCACCCCCTGCATTGTACAGCTTCTGCGCCTTTGAGATCCATCAACTTTGAACACCAGTCGCATTCTGGTCGCAGAGTGCCCGCGCGCGATGCGACCCTTGCGACCCTTGAACTAGATTCAACCAGTGGAATGATACCGAGAGATATTTGATCTTCTGTTCAGCCCATAAGCGATCGTGGATACGGAGTACGGAGTCCTTGCCCGCTATTTTCGAGATGCCGGGCGTAGGAGCGATGGGGTCGTCGGAGGATTCGCATGCACTCGACCGGCCGCTCCTGAGGTCTCACAAGACATTCCCTCGGCGGGATGTGATCATTCCTAGCATCGAAATCGTCCAACCGGTATCTCCGGATCAGAATGGGAAACTCACTGCGACACCCGCGCCTCCTCTGACACCCCCGGATGCAGGTCAAGAAACCGCGATTGACGAACGAACTCCCAAAAAGATGGCCTCCTCGGTCTCAGATCTTCTCACTACTGGGACGTTGACTCCCCGCCGTACCTCCAAACCTCCGACCCCTGATGTGACACCCCCTCGAACGAATAATTCAACCAAGCGACCGGCCTTGAACAACTTGGTCCACTTATCTTCATCATCTCGGGCCGAGTCGTTCCAAACGGCGCTAGAAAGTATCTCTTCGGAAGAGGACATGGAGACCCCGGGCCGGATGTCCCAAGCCACGATAGAGACGCCCAGACAAAGGAACCAGCAATCAAAGCCACCCACCTCAAGTGGATGTCTTTCACACACTGCAGACACCAGACTGTCTTTGAATTCATCCTCGAGACAAGCTAGTGAGACTGAATACGAGACAGGATTCGAGTCATTTGATGGGGATTGGGCCGCCAACATGACTGATGGGTCGCCAACACCGTTAGCTGGAAAGCGAAAGTACGTACGGAACCATACCAAAGCAGATCGACCTTCGACCGCAGCCAGAGATACACTGGATATCAAGCACTTGGACGCTTCTTTGATGCGGGAAAAGACCTTGCGTGAACGAATCAATGGTGCTCCTGAAATGAGACCAAGTCCCTCCATGGAGCAATTTCGGGAGAACATTGGGTGGCCATCGTCAGAACGCCGAGCCAAGGCCAACGAAATCGAGGCCCGTCCCATCTCAGTCATATCCTCGACATCGACGGTAGAGGCTATGATCATCGACTCTCCGAAACGCGCGCAACGTATGCTCCGGCATTCTGGGAAAAGAAGCTCCCTGCGATCTGCTAGCTCTCCTATCACAGCGTCAGAGCGGACCTCTTCTACGTCTCTTTCAGAATCGCAACATCGTCTGACCCACAAAGCAACTCGAATATCTCCCCGGGATCATCGTAGCGTGTCGTCGGATGTATCATTTTCAGCCAAGGCAAGCAGCAGTGCCACACAGCCCAAGATTGAAACCATCAATGTCGTGGTGATACCTGAAAGGAATTCGTCGCTCAAGTCGACTGCCAATAGCTATGCTTCTTCCAAACCGAGTTCCCAACGGTCAAGTCGTCGTCCACCAACAACATCAACGGGTCGTACCGACATTGCTCAGCGAGAAAGACAGCATGGTTCTGAAACCCTCTCGATCCAGTCTCGTGAGGTAGATGATAGGAGTCGCTCTTTGCAGCGGCCCTTCATCCCACCGCGAAGCTCCTCTCTTTCTGCGCCTACAAGCCGGGACAATTCTCGCGCAGCTTCTCTCGCCTCCAACAGCCTGCGGAGTCGGCCCGTAGAGCGGCCCATCATCCCAGCCCGAAGCTCTTCGCTGTCTGCACCAACCAGTCGCAACAACTCTCGCGCAACTTCCCTGACCTCGGATAGCCTGCGAAGTCATAACTTGGCGATGGATCTCGAACTGCACAAGCGCCGTGAACATCAGCCGAAATCCCCACCTCGCCATAATGTTCTGGCATCGCCCGAACCACCGATTCTACCCCAGGTGCCTCACATACCGGGTTTATTCTCTAGCCCAGAGGATATGGAGCTGCTACAGCCTCCTGCTATGCCCTTCACCCAGGGCTCTATTCCATCGTCTTCCCCAGGCCCAATTGAGATCCAAGAAGCTACAGCTGTCAGCTTGTTTGCGCACAATAACCACTCACTGCTGCTTGTTGATCCACGAGTACGAGCCTCAAGTCGCCCCCTTCAAGCGCTTGGGATTTCCCATGACAATGTACGGCCGCACACACCAGACAATGTCGTACAAAGAGAAGCCCTCTTTGTTGACTCTCCCCTTAAGAATCCTCGGCCTCCGCCCAAGCCCCCTGTCAGCAAACCCCTTCCCCCGCTTCCAACCAAAGATCAAGGGCCTGCCAATGACAACGATGAAATCAAAGGTCCCACTAGACGATGGAGTTCAGTTCGACGTTCTTGGAGTGCCCGCCCCCGCTCAGACTCTTTTAATACACTGACGCGCTCGTTCTCAATGAAATCGGCTAAGAACCGAACAACGGGAATGGAAATGGACAGCCGACTCCACCCATTCTGGCGCCCTCGTGGTTTCTGGGAAGACGTACCTAGCTCCCCAGAGAAACAACTATCTCCGGCGCATCCGCTTCCCTCTACCCCCGACGAGTCTTTAGTAGTTAACAACAGCCTCGGCTTACCCCAGCGGCGCATCATACTTGATGGCCCGCCATCCTTGGCACGCCGCAGCCCCGAGTTGAAGCGCTTCTTCAATGGAATGACCAGCAACGGCAGCTTAGTCGATCAAGGCATCTTCCGAACAGGCTCTCCACTGCACCCAGCTCGGTTCCAGGCTCTCTCCCGCTGGGGCCGGCGGATTCAGGCAATGTCCTGGCGTAATATGCATAATCGCGTGCGACGTACGCGTCAGCGACGCGATGAGCGAAAGCGTGCTGTCCGCCGCGAAGCCCTGAAACGGAGCATTGGGCCTCCCATCTATGTAGCTTCCAGTGCTACGGTCGGGGTGACCACGAGATGATAAACGACTTCGTCTTTCCCTTCCGCCATGTCATGTCCATTTCGATTGGACATGTTTCACCACCCAGGTACTTGCCCGACGATTTTACGATGCAACTGGGCGGTCAATTTGAACATGAAATCTATTTGATGCCCGGAAATGATCTTTTGAATGATATGAACCCTATGATGATTATGACATAAATTATGAACCACGATCTCCATGATGATGATGCCTTTGTTTACCTATTTGTTCAAATTTTCTTTATTGTTGTTTTGTGTACTATCAACTTGTTGTGATTTCTTCTAGCACACGCATTGACTTGTTCTCAGCCTGTTCGTCAGCCCAGGCCCAAATCAGGGTTCCCATAACAATTCTTTTCCCTTGCGTTGACCTTGTGCAACACAGCCAATACGAGTAACAATATTCCCAGCTACGAAATGAGAATGGCAATCTACCTGTTTAGGCATAGGGGCCGTTCACACCTATCCGAGGCAGAAGACGAGATCCCCCACTAAGGGACCCCATTAGGTGTACAAGACTTGATCTTCGCATTCGCATAACTTGCGATCTTAGACATAAAAAAAGGCACCGGGACACGAATAGCGCCCCAAGAACTGACACGCAAGATAAACTTATCAAGATTGAGTCATGTATCCATAACCAGAGGTATCCACAGGTATCATTGAAAACTCCTTGCGCCCATGTTAAAACGAAGCTAGAATGATCCAGAAAGAAAGGAAAAAAGATTGAAAGTGACGGTTGGCTCAGTATTTCCCACCCCAATAGACACCTCCATTGCCCCTCGCCCTCTTCCCACGCCCACGTACACTCGACCGACCCCGGATAGCCATAGATCCATACTCCGTCTCGCGATCGACACGTTGTCTCAACCGCTCAGCCGATTCTATTCCATGACTCGGAAGCGCAGAGGCCTCTGAAGAATCACCTGGTGCGGCCTGTGCTGCCTGTGCTGCTAGTCTTTGTTGACTGTGCTTGAGCATAGCTTCCCAACTCGGTGGGTCAAGGAAGGGCTGAGGCGATGTTGCGAACGAGATTTCGACGCGCTGAGGCTGGGCACTTAAGTCATCTTCTTCAACTGGGCTAGAGCTTCTATCGCTGGAACCTTTGGGTCCTTTCCTGCGATTGGTCTTGGCCTCTTCGTGGGAGGTCTTCATGAGTACTTCTGCGGGGATTGCGCTGGGATTGAGCTTGTGCATCCCCTTTGTTGGTAGAAGTGGACGTCTTGATGGGATAATTCGAGTCCGAGCTTGCGAAGTTGCTTCAGGCATTTTCTCTTGAGTCCCGACGACTTGTATATGAGCATCCAGCATGAGAGTGAGACCGACGTCAGAATTATCGGCTTATCGCAGCTACAAGGCATCAAGGCAGAAACATATACTATGCCGATCATGGCCTCGACTTTCTTGATATTCCTATGTCAAATTCTCGACACATGTTTGATAGGTGAAATGACTCAATGTTTCGGCCGAAACAAGATCCAGATTGCACCCGATACCTCATGCAAGGCTCCCTATCCTCATTTATGTGCGCCGGCGCAGCGCAATCTTCAACCCGAAGTTAGGAACATAAAACTCCTCGAATGAAAGTGAACCAGTCAATGAATCGGAGGACGAATCAGACAGGGCTACGTCAAATCGAGTCAGGATATGTGCAAGAGCCAGCTTCATAAGTGCGCTAGCCATCCATCTTCCAGGGCTGCAAACAAGAAATCAATGTCAGCCGATGGAATTCAAACAGTTGGACTTTAAACCGAGGCAAGAAAGTGATGGAGACTCAAAATAATTCTTCAATTGGTAAATGACTGGACTTACCAGGCATGCACACCCATTCCAAACACCAGGTAGTCAGGACTCAGGTCAACAAGCTGGGAATTCTTGTCTCCGGCTGCGGCACGCTTCACGAACCGGAAGCCATCGAAATTTTCGGGGTTCTCATAATTCACACTCAATTGCTGAATTAATTCGCTTGGAACAGCGACGTGGGAGCCTTGCTTGAGTGTGATACCTGTTGGGTCGAATGCTCGTCAGTCCATAATCCATCAGCGTTGATGGCCCAGCTGCGCATGGCATGAGTAGGACAAACCGTTGGATAGCTTGAGGTCAGCGGTGCAGACTCTATGGGCAGAGACTATATTCAGGCTCATGCGTTAGCCAATCATGAACTTGGGGTTAGACTTCATAGATAGACCCACGAGCTGCGGGAGGGTGTAGTCGCTGGGACTCTTTCAAGAAGCTATCCATCAAGACCATAGCCTTACAAGCCGGAAGTGTGGGCCCTATTTTACCCACAGTAAGGTCAATCTCCGCCCGGAGAGGCTCACTGTACTCTGGCCGTCGTGCCAGCTCAACTAGAGCCACATAGAGTCCCTATTGGCCTGGGATCAGTAGGTTGCAAGGGGGAAAGGGAGTTATATCTGTTTCTATCTACCTACATATGATGTAGTGTAGATAAATGCAAACTGTAGGAGCAGCATCTCGCCAATAACCTCTGGATATGTCCATCGTTTTCGGATAATGCAGCATTCGTATAGCCAGCGGAAAATCTCAACCTGAGCAGTATAAAATGAGTCTCACCAGCTAAAGTCAAGAGCAAATTAACGAGAACATGGACAAACATACAGGTTTTCCTGAATGATCAAGGCCGGACTCGCTTATGGCCTCACATCTCGCAGATATCTCCGCTCTATATTCGGCAGCACGTGCATCGAAATGCTTCAGTAAAGTCCTGCGTGACGTGGCCATGTTCCATTTTGTCCCAAGACCAATCAGACGACTCAGGAGTCCACCAATATATCTATTTAACAAATTTAGTCTGACAGTCATAAATGTAAACCGTGGAAGTACCAGCCACGAGCCCTAGGTTTATGCAAGAGCTAAACGCACCGTTTCAAACAATCCGGGACGAGGAATTGCGCCCGGGCGGTAGTAATCATACCAAGAATATGCTCTTTCACTGCATCAAGATATTCTTCATCCTGGGCAAGTCGTTCACCGACGAGAGAGTAACTCCCGCTGCGTGCCACGATCGAATATGCGAGGTCAAATGAGCCGATGCTGCATGCTGAACCATATCATCAGAGACAGATATGTACACATATGGATAAATGCCTGACTTGCCGCCATTTTCAGTATTGAGTAGGTTCAATTGGGCAAGAATTGTCTCGTTAATTGACGGCAAATACCGATCCAAATTCTTGTGTACTGTGCCACGAATAAGACCAGGTGTGGTTTTGGCGACCTTTGGCCACCCTGCTCCTGCGGGGAAATACCCCGGCATAACATGGGATATCTGGAGGAGCTGTAAAATTTAGCAAGTTAGAGTCTAGGCAAAGTCAATTGGTAATGCAAACACACCTGATCAATCCACGGCTCTGGGGATGCAAGATTGCTTCGCGTGTTCCTCAATTCCTCGACGAGGTCCGCAGAACATAACACGACCTGCCCAAAGCGAAAGGTACGTGGAATCTCGAACAACCCATCCTTGGCCTGAAAGTACCCTCTTTGTATGACCCGGGGACCGTTCACCACAAATTGATAGTGCTGATGTAGAATCGCAAAGGGGTTTCGAGACCCCGGGAAAGAGACAGGCCTCTACTGGGCGGAACAAATACATCAGTCTTTGAATCACCAGTCTGACAACCTACCCGTGCCCATTCAAGGATTGAAACCACTCACATTAGCCAAGGTACTGGAAGTAAAGACCAAAGCGGCCGCGGTCACCAAACAGAAACCCAAAAAAGCGACCAAGAATAGCAACAGCTTCGGAGCTTGAGATAATAAGCACTTAGTCAAACAAAGCATGTCAGTCACGGTCATACTGATCAGAATGTGTCGAAAGAACGAAGCAATTTGAATGCCAAAAGACTCAAGTTTCAGAGTAACTTGGGTACTTAAGTCCAGGAGTATATAAAGAAACAACCCGAGGCAACTACTACCCAAGACTAGGGCTCAGGGGGAAAATTGACAAAGATCCAAAGGGTATAATGCATGCATAATATCACTATTATTACATCCCAAGGCCCCCGAGGTCAGTTGATTTAGTTAAATGAGCCTGCGGGCAAAGCTTACAAAGAGTGATGTACGCTGCAGACTCCACCGGACTTTGTATTTGCAAGGGACTATTTGGAATTTCCAAATGGGGATATTGACTTAAAAACACATCAAACAGGCTCGAGACAAGGGTAAGCGTATAAGAGACTGATGTGAAATATTGACAGATAAACAACAAAGATGAGAAACAACTCCAAGGGAGGTATCAGTGATCGAGTATGGTATAATGATACAAACACGCAAGCCACGCCTGAAAAAACGCCGAGAAAACAACAGACCAGTGTCAATCTATGCGATCCCCTGGGACTCCATTCCACCCACGGTGGAGTAGGAATAAGGCAAATCTACCAAGCCGTCGAGCAACCAATTCAACGGGTCGAAGACCTCGTAATTGGGCTCCATGAAACCGCTAGGAAGTCCATTGACTGGATTAGAAGGTGGTTGCACCCCAAGAGTAGCCTGCGATAATAGGGGTGCTGGGGCAAGGCTAGGGTCGTTCCCGGAAATTCCAGGTGTAGTTGTCGCTGGTTGCATAGGGCCGACAGACGAAGTATTCGAAGAATCCGCCGCCGAGTCTGGATTTGTCGGGTTTTTCAGGTATGCTGGAGTTAAAGTCAGACAGTGGATAGCCTAGGAAGGGCGAAGAATGATTACCTTCAATATTACGACCTTTGGTGCGCGCATCCTCCCTCCATCGCCACACAGAGTCGAAAAGCAGAGACATGCTCATCCGACAACGCACTTTTAGGCGTAGAGAGTCGTCGACATCGGTGCTATTACTAGACCGATGAGTTGCTCCTCCTAATCTCCACATTTGAGCCAAGACTTCTGCAAGACGCTCGGGTAAATCGTTGCTGGAGGCGGAGACTCCACGGATGGCCCATATTGTTCGATTGAATAGGTGTTTGGTGTAATCCATATCGATGTGAGAGGAGAAAAAGCTCTTGCACAGCTTCAGAAGAGTGCAACCGGCGGCGACCATCATCTGATAGACGTAGTAAGGAGTATAAGAAAGGACCGGACCAACTTCGGTCTCAAGGTTCAAGACATTCTCGAGGAATGAGGTCGTCGCGACATATAGAGACAAAACACGTTCGCGGTAGTTCTTTGCAGCTGGCTCATCAAAGAATGCCGAAAGATGCAAGTGAAGGTTAGCGGCACGTAGGAATAAATCAGTGATACCTGGTCCGTTAGTCTCGACTTGTGACTGTAAGTTATGTGGCTATGGGACTTACTGTCACTCTGGGGTTTCAATTTTTCCTCTAACTCGTCGAAATCCCGCGACAAGAAGGAGATCATTGTAGATCGTTCGTGATCACTAGTGAGACCAACCGGATCACGCCGATTCGTGTAAAGTGCCCTGGTAATTCTGTCGCAGAATTTCTCGATCTCCAGCCTTGTCCTGAGATCTTCTGGGAGTTTGAAGTTCGGGTCAAGCGAGTCACTCGAAGAAAGTGTCCAGTCGTACAAAGTGGACGAAGGCTGCCCATATCCCGTGGATACTCTGTGACAACGCATGAGAACTGCTCTGAAAATAGAAGGGAGTTTACATACCTCTGAGCGACAATGTTGCAGATGGCCCATGTTCGCACCTTATCTCTTAACTCCTCCTCGATCAATTCGACACGAAACTTGCTGAAGTCTTGGGTGTGAGAAGGCCGGTGGAGACCCAACTGCATGGCAACCTGCACCATCATACCGCATAGCATAAATGTTGGGTCTGTGGAAGTGCTGCTTGTCGGGAATGGCCAGGAGCACATTAAAGCAAGAGCCTTCACAACGTGATAGCTTTGGGGAATATCTGCCAACGTGCTCCATACCAGTCGACTGACAGGACCAGCGAGTGAATTCAATAAAGTCGAATCACCCTGGTAGCGTCGCGCACCGACGCTGATAATTGTCCAAAAAAGGAGCGATGAAGCATTGTAATAGTCCTCTGGGGATTGCTTTGGATCTAGGAATGGTAGGAAAGGGTGGTAGTATGTGAAGAAGCTGGACATAACATTAGACTGGCCACGGCTTGCACGGGTAATGAAGGACTCACAGATTGAACAGCTCTCCCACTTTCTCGGGAACAACCATGACATCTTCGATGCGCTTTATTTGGCCTCCGGTTCGCATGAAATTGGAGCCGTCAAACCCCGAGCGCAAGTCCAACAGGGACGCAACAGCTTCTTGTGATCCCATGTACTGATCCGCGGACATGGCTGAAGGGGTTTGATACACAGCGGGACTGACTTGGTTCGACTCTTGCTTGGGAGTCAATTGCCCCGCGGCGATTTGCTGCTGCTGCTGTTGAGACATCCCAGGGACAGGCTGACCGGTGGCAATTTGCTTCCTGAGCTCCATGATTTCTCTCTCCATCTCCGCATTGCGACTGCGTTTCCCCACACGCTTGAAGTTCGATTCAATTTTACAGTCGAGTTTGAGCCGACGGCATCGTGAGCAATCGGACCAGGGGTCTTGGATGACGTCGCATCGAAGCTATCGCAATTAAAAAAAAAAGGTTAGCCCGACTCGTGCAAGCCAAACCACACGGCATTGCGACCTACTTTCTGTTGTCGACACTCGTTACAAGCGCGCTTCACAGGCTGACGTCTCTTCTCTTCGCGCGCTTCGTGGTCGTCCATATCTTCAATACTGCCGGGCGAACTGTCGATCCCCGCCATCGTCACATTTCGTTTGCGCCCATGCACGCCATCGGCAAGTGACATGGACACCTGATTGAGACCCGACATTACGGGACTGGTGCCAACAGAAGCATTATCAAAATTCACAATCGGTTCCAGAGCTTGGGCCTGGCCCTCTCCGATGCCGCTCGATCGTCCGAGAGAAGCCAGGCTGAATGACGTGTGATCGCACTTATCGAGTTCAGTAGGAAGGTTTCGTATTGGGTGCACACACGGGCCAAATGTATGTGCTTAATCTCTCCGACTCTTGCTCTTGTTTTCTCACTTTTTTCTACAAAAATCGATTTCAACTTTTGCCCATGCATGGGCCGGTGAGCAAACGATTTCCCGGGTCACATGACATAGCCTCACGTGCACTATTTCATAGACACGTGACCCCAATGAGTACATTTACATCCCTTTACGATGTTTCCTATCGAGACGAAGGGGTTCAACTTTAGAAGCTCTCTAATTCTTCAAAGAGGCAGTAATGACACTCAATTGTGCTGTCTGCGGGTGTGTGCATTGCCGACAATATAGTACATGTAGTACTCTGTACTAAGCATTGCCGATCAACTTCTAAAATTTCCCTTATTTGATCGTCTGGTAAAATCTCTGGACAGAATATCTCAAAGAAAAAATGCACATGTTAATTAATATCCTCCGTGTCTCTCGTATAAATTCATGTTTCCAAAAAACAAAAAACAAGTATAAACTCCACATGAGATCATTTGATCGTCTGCCATTGGGGGCCATTTAGGGCCATGAGGGGGGCATTAGGGCCTGAGAGAGCCTTAAGGCAGTGCAGCCGCGCCCGGCTTCGCCCTGCAACATATCGCAGCCAATGAGATCAATACCAAAGTCCACTCACAAAAACGAACCGCAAGATCAGAAGCTTTGGCACTTCGAGGCTTAGCAATTTTGGGTTCAGGTCCGACCCTCCATTAGTCGGGGCGCCGGGGCTATCCAATAATCCGAGTCAGTACAGTCGTCACCAACGCGATCCGTGGATATTTTCGATTGGAACTCGGGGACTATGAGTAAGTCTGACATTTCCTGGGGTTAAAATATAAGTGATCGCTCCCCCCCCCATCAAACTGTTCTTCCAAACTCCTCTGTACTCTGCTCCAAGATGGCCATCACAACAGATGACAAGTTGGAGTCCAAAGAGACACAACGACCCCAAAGCCAGTCTTCTCATGAGAGGCCACCATCCTATTCGGCCAACGAGGCCGAGCAGCCACCGCTGGAGCTTAAGCTGGACCTCGGCTCTATCCCACCTTCCGTCACCACTGTCACCCGCGATCAATGTATTGCCCACCTCAAATTTCTAGCCGTGCTTGCAGACCTGCGAGATGTCATCTCGAGTGATGACGGTCTCTTTGGGATCTTCGACTCCGAGGCAGATAGATTCCCCGATTTGCTGAACGAAGCACGGGCTCGTATTCGTGAGAAGCGCTGGGCTGTGTACGTGGCACGCGCTGTTCATCGATACACTACCTGGTGGTCTGTTGGTCTCCCAAGGTCACGGCAGATGGCGACAATTGGGGATTTAGAGTCTGCTAACTATGGGGATATCGTGAGATGTGACACTTTGGTCGCCTGGAGCCCAGAAAACCTGCCACCTCTAGGTAAGTCTCTTGATGCCCCATAAAACATCTTTTTCTAATGTGTTATAGATATTCTGATGGTTTGGCATTCTCATTCGCTGAACCCCCGCAGCTTTCTCGAAGATTGTATCAGATATGGCAAGATGAGTACCTGGAGAACTGGGTTCCCATGGAAAGTGATCGACAGCTGCATCGACAACCGAACAATGGAGTATAGAGTCTCCGAAGAAGCACAGCAACTATTCGAAAAGAAGCTTCAATTCAAGTGGAACAACCTAGACAATCCACCAGTTAAGGAAGTTGAATGTCCACGCTGCAAGAAGGTGAACTATGTGCCATGGACAGAAGCTCGTTTTGGTGAGACTGTCGCCAATGCGTTCAGATTTGGCGATGGCTATGCCGACAACAACTTTGAGAAGAAATGCCTCAACTGTCAACACATCATCGATCATGGCCGACTCAAGGTGGCCAAGTTCCGAAGGGATCTCCAAGCCACTTTACAACAAAATTTGCCAATGCCTGGGTCTTTCACCAATCTTTATGGAGTACCCGAGGGCTCACAGGCTACAAAAAACAATCCAAGATTCACATCTATGATGTTCCCTACACGTCTCGTCAAAGCAACTGGAAAGGATTTGAGCAGCTTTACTGATGGACGAGTGGATTGGTGTCAGAACATCGACCAACTCCGGGAGAGACTCGAGGAAAAGCTCCGTGACCGTACATACATATTCAGTGCCAATGGAGGTGTGAACACCAAGATACTCAGGCCAACAGAGAAGGTCCACTTCCGACGAATGATGTCGCGGTACTGGGACAACCTGGATCCATTCGCATTAGATCTTGTGGGTGCAGTGGTCCGACAAGGAACCTTCGTGGAAAAGATGGATCAGATCGATTGGCTACATTCACCCGCAGTCTTTGAGACCATGGACCGAATCATCAAAAAGTACGAGGTCTTCTTCAAGATAATGCTGGATAACCCAAACAACATGGCCGTGCCTACCCTGGATGTCGACCTAGCCTGGCACACACACCAACTCAGTCCACCCCGATACTACAACCATAGTATCTCCAATGCCAAACCAAACTGCATGCCTATCTTCATCGACCACGACGATAAAGTCGACGAAGAAAAGCTATCGGACGGTTTCGCCTGGACAAGTAAAATGTACCGCCGAGCCACTGACGGAGGCATCTACAGCGAATGCACCTGCTGGTACTGCGAGGCAACCAGAACGCCAGACCTTTACGATCGCCTGATCGCCGTCGGCTCAGTCTCTCGTGCCCGCGATGCCGCAGACCAGTTACACAGCCGTCCTGATATCTCGTCCGACCCAAACAAAAACCCTCACATCTCTGCACACAATGCTATCCGGCCTGCGAGCTTGTACGCCCCGACAGCGCGTCCTAACACAATTCAGTTTTTGCGGTTGAAAAGCAATTATCAAAAGGCTGCCAGGCGTGCTGAGAAACGTGCTGGGAAAGATGGTCGTGCTCGCTCGGGCTCCAAGTCTAGTGATCGAGGTCCTGTCGCTGACCCATACTATATGCCTTATGCTTATGGATACCCCATTATGGTGCCATACTATGCTCCCTATATGGCGGACCCTTGCATCAACTCCGATACGTACGCGTGTAACCCTGGTTGCATGAATATCACTGTCGGAGCTGCTGGAAACTGTTGTGCCGGCACATGTAGTAAGTTCTTCCTCCGAGATTCTAGAAGTATTGAATGGTTTTAACTTTGCAAAAGGTGGTGGCGCAGCTGCAGGAAGTTGTGGTGCAGGATGTGGGAGCGGAGGATGTGGTGGTATGTTACCTTTGACCGTTTTGTCTTCGGTTTTCTGTGCTAATGTGTTTGTAACAGGCGGGTCAGCAGGCTGCGGTGGAGGCTGCGGCGGCGGTGGTGGTAAGTCCGGTCCAGAAACAAAAACCAGGCTATGTGCTGAATTGCTGACCTGACTGATTAGGCGGTGGAGGTGGTGGTTGCGGAGGAGGAGGAGGAGGAGGTGGAGGAGGAGGTTGTGGGGGTGGTGGAGGTGGTTGTTAGCCTCGGAGGAGGCATATTTGCTACCTGAATAGTTTATACCCTTCAGTTCTTTTGGCTTGATCAAGACTGTATTGCTTATGCGTTTCTATTGATGAACTGCCCATGCTATGATCTTATTTTATACTTAAGTATGATGGAAACTGATAAAAATCAGTATTATGGCTTTGCTTGGCCTCCCTACTCGATGTGCCAAATCGAAGAGTCTTAGCCTATCTAAGTAACACCCAGGCAGTACCTAGGTAGTCACCTGTAGACATTCAATATCCAAACATAAAATTTAATAGCCCAGCACAATTCGAGATCCAGGTATCCTGTGACAAGTCATCCAGATCAACAACAGTCCCTTCGAAGCTCGATACCCACTGATCCTGAGTAACAGCATGCCACAAGAAGCAATTCGTCGGCATTGGAAACTGTAATTCCTCAGCGGGGAACATAGACACAGTGCCAACACCCTCTTCATTATCTCTGGCATTAATGACAGTCACTTTCCCACAGACCTTGAACAACGCAAGATTGAATTGTTTAATCTCTTCAATGCTCACCCAGATAAAATCCGAAACACCAATTTCTCGATGTCGTGAAAGCATATTTGGATAATAAAACATGCCTAGTCTTTGACAGCTTCGCACCAGACTAGCCAACAATTCGAGTTTCGGAGTTGGGACAGTAAACCGCAGGTCCATATCGAGAGTACCTGCATTGGTATGCAGTATTGAGAATATGATATGCAACAGGATGGCTTGGTAAGTTGGCAATGGCCAATGACAGTCACTGCAAGCCTCTTCTGCTTCAGATGCGTCCCATTTTTCCTATTGTTTTTGTTAATTGTGGGAAACAAAGCCTGGAGACGATACGGAACCTTTTGTTGGCAAATGGCCAAGTCGAGATTATTATGAATGTCCACTGCGGCCCTTCGTGTCGTCTCTTCGTCACTAGTCCACATCCCAAGAACCACCATCGACTGTACAAGAAGTGGTGTTTCGTGGTGAACATCAAAACTCCCCCTGTGGACGAATGGCCATTTGGGATGGAATTTCTCGAAGTAAAGCTGGATATAATGGTCTCTCTTTTCGGAGAGCAGTGTCGGGTCCAATGGTACACTAGTTTCTTTATCTTCTTCGTTTTGATCTCTGAAATTGCATTCAATACTGCGGCGAATACACTCGTTGCATGGCAAGCCCCCTTGACAGCGCGATTTAGTTGCTCGACAACCTTCACAGGCCTGCCGGGCTCGCGCGGAGGGCTCCTTTATCTTGTGATGCTGCCAAACATGACGTCGAAGTGTATCACTGAAATCAGTTAGAGAATACTGAAGAGATTCAAGGATGAATTCATTCTAGATACCTGCGCGCGAATTCGCGATCACAATTTGAGCATGGGAATGCTTGGTGTTGGCAGTGCTTTAATTCGTGGCGCCGCAGATGCTCTTTGCGTTGATAACTGGCATTGCAGCCAGCGAAAGAGCATTCAAAAGTGGCCATGAGACTGGCATCAGTCGCATTTCGAGGTTTTGCGGAGTGGAAATGACGCTGTGGCAATGAGGTATTTGATCGGTATCCCACCGGCCGCCCACTGCTGTCGGATATTTTCTCCAGATGCTGCTACCTCTGCTTTGTTATTATTAATATATATATATTTGCACTCAGAAACTCGTTTATCTTTGATTTAAAGGTATAACTAGACATCATATCAGTGGTACTATTGCATGCGACTTGTACGTAGGCACGAGGCCTTGCCTGAGGGCCGTTCAGGCGAATGCCCTAGGTAGTGAAATTAATTCCCGACTACCTAGTACTTAAGTAGGCAAACAGCAGTAGTCGAGAAAAACATAATTACAGAAGGTAGCCCTAGAAGGGATAATGCTACCCTTAGGGGAAACTGTCCTGGTAAGCAGTTCAGATGATGACCAAGTATGAAAACTACGAAAACAATATACGTGTAGTTTGAAGGACCCCAAATCTCGCAATCTTTCAAAGAGCATGGGCATTAGTACTTCCCACAGACATTGAGTATATCGCAACTTAAATCATGGACTCGGATGTCTAGCATGAGTACCCATTGTGATACGGAGCAAAACAAACACCATAGAGTTTGGCGAGGCAACTTCAGAGGATCAGGAGCCTCTCAGGACCAATTTTGGATTTCCGGCTTGGAGATCATGCCATAATGACGAAATGTATGGAGAAACACTGTAATGGATCTTCATACTGGACCCTCCCCCGCATGCAATATACAAAATGTACGAAACGAGTATGTGGAGAATTGTCGCTGATCAGATCAGGGATGCCAGGCGGAAAAGGCATGCGCAAATGATCTCACTGGGGAATGTCTATTTGCGATTATGGAGTATTGTATCAGGTCTGGGCTAGAGATGCGAATTCATGAGATATATTCATTGTATGCCCCGTCCAAGGGTCAAGTACATAAAGTGAGACCATAGGCGGGAGGTGGAGAGGAAAAGGAGACGGATAAAGAATGGACGAGATACACATGGGGAATTTGTGGGTTTGGTATATATGTGCGAACAAAAAGGACAAAACAAACGAGAGCCATGGACGAGTCCGATGGAATGATGGATATGCGCCGGCCATACAAAGTAGGCCATTTATGGGGGTTTCCTGGAAGAACAAGAGAGCAAAAACAAAAACAAAAACAGAAAATAAAAAATAAAAATAAACAGTAAGCGGGCCAAAGAAACATGATACATGGGATCTCGAAAGGTGATAAAAGGTCCCGAGAAGTAAAGGACACACCGGAGATAGAGTAGTCACTCTATCCGTTGGAGTTGCCGTGAACATGTAAACAAGAAGATTCAAAAATTCGCTCAGGCTCGTACATGAGATCGTGAAGGGGGTCGTTCGGCATAGGCCGCTGTGACCCAAGGATTGGTTCGGAGGTTTCAAAAAAAAAGCAAAAATGGAAAGGTGTCACGCGTGGAAGATTTACTCTTCCATGCGACCAAAGACACCGTCGTCGTCGTCATCCGCCGGCGCCGAGCGGTTACCAAAGTCCACATCGGCGTTGCGGCGTTGTCGGGATTGCTGGGCCTCTTTTCCACCGGTTCGAACCTCACGCTCATCCGAGACCTTGTAGGAAAGCGACGGGTTGAACGATCGGGACAGAAAGATGTTGGCCTCGGAGTCTCGGCGAGCAGCCTCCATTGTGGGGCGTGATTGAGCCGAGTGGGGGCTCTGGCTGTCCGGGTGGCTGCTCGAGTCGAGATAGCGCGCGGGGAGTGGAGGCACGGGAGGCACATCGGGAGTCAGGGAGACCGGTCCTGTGCGGGGAGTGCCGAAATTGCAAAGACCGATAGCCGCAGCCAGATCTGCCTCGTCGTCCTCGTGTAGCCGGGCATCCGCTGTAGAGGGTCGGGTGTCGATACTGGAGTTGCGGAAGTGCGAGAAGGTGGGCGAGTGCAGCGGAGCACTATCGTTGTACGAGCTAGAGGGGATCGACTGGTATGACCGAGAGAAGCCAGAGGCGTTGCTGACGCTAGGGCGCTTGGCCCATTGTGCCGGCATGCCCGACATCTCAAAGTCGTCGTCCTCCTCTTCATCCATCGGGGGTGGTGTCGTTTCGGCGGAACTCAAACCGTCTCGCAATTCTGACCGGGCGTCGGGGGATCCGGAAGACAATTCTGACTCCAATTCGGCCAACTCAGCCAACTCGGCAGACTCGTCGGGTGGATCGTCGTGGTTCATCGTGACCAAAACGGAGGCGGCTTCCAGCAGTTGTACTTGCTGATGCTTGGAGATGAGAAGTTTCGAAGTCACGGCCCATGCTGGGTCGTGTTCCCACCTGTACCACGAAAAAAGAAAAACACGTCAATCAAGGGCTCCGATCACAGGTTGAAGAAAGGGGGACAGGGACGAAAGGGGGAGATAGACCACGAGGGCGACCTGCAGAGCCGACATGGTGCATAATCCCCAATCAAGCGAGAGGAAAGACGGCCGAGCGGTAGGGGGGGAATACACACATATGCTTAGACAAGCAGCTGCCATGCTTATACCCTTTCCCGCAGCGATCACAGCGGATTGCTGCCGCGGCCCGCTTTCCATCGGCCTTGAGCTGGGCACCCTCGCTGGCACGGCGATTCCGGTTCTTGAGTTTGCCGTCGGAGTGATCCGAGCCGGGGGAGCCCTTGCGAGCTGGAGATTCCTGACTGGGGCTGTTGATGCTGCGAGACAAGTATGAGCTGAAGCCTGAGGCGCTTCCCACGGAGGCGGATTCCAGTCCCTTGCGGCCTCCTAGGCTCCGGCGGTGCGCGCCCATGGGGAGCGAGGTGGATTCTCCGCCTTCCATCGAGGCAGCCACGGCGGCGGCTGCATGGGCGGCAGTTGTAGTCACACTCTTACGGCGAGTAACCCGGTGGTTGGAATTGGAGGCTCCCAGCGAGATTGAGTGCGCGTGTCGCTGGTTGGGATTGAGGGGACGCGACATGGATAATTCCTATTGATGGCCAGAGGCCGAAAGTTTAGTCTGGGCATCACAGAAGATGCGGAGTTAAGCTGGACACGTACTCGGAACGAAGCCATGGTGGGATGAGTGGTCAATTCCGAGCCCTCTCCTCAATTCACGTAATTATGCGGATGGGTAGAGGGAGATGAGAGCGAAAAGGGTTGTGCAATGAGAGCGAGAAGGAGTAGCGAGAGAGAGAGAGAGAGAGAGAGAGAGAGAGAGAGACAGAGATAGAAAAAAAAAAGTTTAGGAAAAAGAAAGAAAGGTAGGGGAAAAAAGAGGAGAGGGAGAAAGAGTCAGGGCCCTAGCCAAAATCACTCAGGTTTGCGGGGGCCTTTCCCTTTGAGCATGCGGGGGGGAGGATCACCGGTCACACCTTCGGTATTTTTTATAAATTGGTATCTTCTACTATGTTCTTTGGCTTCAGTCTGTATATCGTGCCTTCTAGGACTATTATCTATGGGTTCTACAGTCATAAGGCATTGTCGTGTATCGTGTATCGTGCTATTCTCTCGATATCAGTGGATCCACTCGCTAGTCCGAAGTCGCGACTTGCGACTTCCAAGGTTAACTGAATTGCGAATCTTTGAGCTGTGGACTGTTGGCTGTGGACTAAAAAATAATAATGCCCAGATTGTATTTCTGGAATGGCGTTCCGCACACAATGTGAAAGAAAAAAAAAAAAGAAAATGGGGATTTCCAAGTGGTTAAAACAGGGCTGTGTCCATGGGTCGACGCTCAGATAAAATGTCCTTGAACTTCAATTTTTAGAAGTCTTCAGGACACCTATTCAATTAAGACTACCAACGGACAATAGTAATGTGGCTATAAAAAAAAGAACTGAACAAAAAAAAAAAAAAAAAAAAAAAAAAAAACAAAAAAACAAAAAAAAAAAAAAAAAAAAAAAAAAAAAAAAAAAAAAAAAAAAAAAAAAAAAAAAAAAAAAAAAAAACCGCTTACACCAGAGCGATCACAACAACCTCTTAATACCGCCGTTTTTCTTTTTCTACTAGTTCACTATCTAGAGACGGTGCATCTCTCCTGAACATCGCAGTTTCACTCTCCTTCAATTCGTGTTTACAAAACAAATCGTTACCCACGCGCAACACCTGACCATCATGACTTGTGAAGATGACAATCAACTCTCTGGATTTGTCAAGACGTTAAGTCTTCAGGAATTATGCTCTGCGGCTTCCAGTTGCCGAGATGGCGTCTCGTGTGAAATAGGAGAGCAAACAGTGGGAGCTAAATGAGTCACTTTGGTAGTTGCTTCTAATGCTGAGTTACTAATAAGCCGTCACTAGGGTTTAATGTGGTTTATGAGCTGATCTTCTCTGACAAGGTCACTTGGATGGCACGGATCCCTCTCCCTTATACCTGCTTCCAACAAGACGAGGTTTCGGCGTCTTATGCCGCTACGCTCAAGTATCTCAAGCAACACAGCAGCATCCCGGTTCCTACTGTTTTTGCATTCACTGTCAAGTCAAATCCCGACAACAAAGTAAACGCGACCTACATCTTGATGGAAAAGCTCATGGGACACCAATTGTCTGTTCTAGAAGATGAATGGCGAAACCCGAAACCCCAAGACTTGGCCCTGGCCAAAAGGGTTCATGAGCAATTGACGGATATGATATTAGAGCTCGGTAAGGAGTATTTTCCTTGGTTTTGCATAACCCAGTCTCATAATTTGACTATCATTCCAGCATCTTTCAAATTCGACAAAATAGGGTCCCTAGGAGAAGATTCAAATGGGAACTTCTTTGTCGGGCCATATGTTGACATAATGGACACGGCCTCCCAAAAGCAAAGAACACAAACTTATCAATCGCCAAGCCCTCATCATAAGGGTCCTTTCTCGTCTACCTCGGACTGGTATGCTGCTATGTCGGAGCTGAACCGAAAGTCTGCGATCGAAGACCCAGATGAAGAAGAAGACAAGGATGTCAATGTCGCGCAGTTCGAATTGCTTGCTGAATTATCGAGGGACATAATTGTCGAAAAGTTCAACGACGGTCCCTTTGTGATCAATCACAATGATCTTACTGTACAGAATATTCTGGTTAGAAACTCGAAGACCACAAATTTAGGAAGCAAGCTAACACTGGAAGGTTGATGACGAATTCAATATTACCGGTGTGCTTGACTTCCCGGGCACAATAGTGCCCTTGACCTCGCTTTGCGTCTTCCCGTGGCTATTCAGCGACAATTATACCGGACTGGTCACAGAGCGTGATGCATATCTGAACGTGTTTCAAACTCGGGAATGCCACAACGTGTCATCGGCTTTGCAATCCTGCAACTTGAGAAAGGAATTGATGGAGAATTGTCAGCGTCGTCAGGATTTTGAGTTTGCATTACTGGGTCCTTACATCGGACTCACTCTCCCAGGCTTATTCAAAGATATAAAGAACCATCCACTTGACGAGGCCATTGAATACCAGCGAATAGCTGATACGAGGGAATGGTTCAAAAAGCACATTCCCCCCGCGAAGAATGGCTTCTATTCGTGGCATGATCCCGAGGAAGAAAATGCAGCGGATTTGAAGAATGATTCTGCTCCATAGGAGATTTCGAAATGAACTTGGCTCAAATTTTCCAAGCAGGTATCAGAGAAAGACCAACAAATACTTCTGTGAAAACAAGGCATTTGAAATTTCTAGCTTGAAGGCATACGCGAATCTGTAGTTGGAAGTGTAAAGTGGGCTTCATCTACGTACAAGCTAATTGCGCAGCGAAGCGACGCAATGTTAGAACATACCTATTTACTTAACCCCCCCCCCCTCCTGAGGCCACGTGCTAATTTATGATACAGCATACAGCAATGAGGATTTCAGTTTCCCCACATTGCATGAGATTGCCACATTCAATTGGCAGGTATGGTCTGCGAACGATAATATCGAAGGTTCTTATCCGCACATGAAGGCCTCCATCATTACTGGCGTGGAAGGAGACGACCGATTGCTTCGCAGTGATATTACTGTTGAGAAGGCACGGCGAGAGAAAGCGGAAATGAACCGACCGAATTCACCGCGGGGAGAGAAGAAGAGAAGAGGGAGAAGCTAAGAGGCTGCGAGTTATCTACTTATTGGGGTTGGGCGAACTCCCTACACAAAAATTCCGACCATCATCGACATTATGATCACACCTCTCATGGTTGCTCCGGTAAGACGTCTTGCCTTTAGTGAACGAAAAATGGTGGATTAACAATCGTGCTGCTAGGTGCTCTTGTATTCCATTACGTATTTTCGACATGCTCGAGTGCTCGACGCACATTATGATTGCATGAACCTCTCCGTCCGTGGAACCAAGCTGTATGATCTCACGAAAATAAACCCGATGGCGGTGGCTCTGTTCACTCAATACTGGCTTCGTGTAGCATGCGGACAAACCCGATTGAAGGCGCAACATCCTGTTAATCTGATTCTTGATTTATGTGAGAGAACCGGCATATGGTCTCTGGGCGTACCCTCATCTTGTTCCTGAAGTCTGGCACGTGTTTCTGTTTTTTTGGTGTCTTCTTTGGAGGTTTTTCACGAATTGATAATATTTACATATGAACCACCCTCCTCCCCGTACATCTTCTTTTTCTTCTTCTACCTACTTCAGATCCAGCTTTTTCGTCAAGAATGGCCTGAGTCTACGAATGCCATCCTCACAGCGGAGCTTATGGAAATCGCAAAGAGTAAAATAATGGATGAGCTGACTGTGTCGTTGGGCTGGGATTTGTTGGCTTTCGTGTCTTTCTTGACTAGCCCCTGTTTTTATTTCCCCTTCTCTGTATCATGTATTCTCCTTACCTTCTCTAGGTGACTTGTTGCTTTCACGACTCTAGGGCTATGGCATTCAATGGCTGCCTCTTTCCCCAGTTTTCCCTACTACATCAATCTTACTTTTCTCTTGACTTTTATGCAGCATTGGTTCTGCCAACAATCCTTCACTGCTTCTAACAACATTTTGCTTTTGTACGTCTTAGTATACGTGTAACCTGGTTACGAACCCCGTTTGCCCCGTTTGCCCGGCATTCGATATTCCATCTGTTGTACGACTCCAATTTTCTTGTTTGTTGCACGAGCTTACCAAGCTGAACATCTAATGGCCAGTTCTTATATAATAGCCCCCGTCTCATTATCCCATTTTGGGCCCATCCAGTCCTAGAAGCAGCATTGGGTAATATTAGATGGTCATTTTTGGTTCATAGTGCATTGAAGTCGAGATTCCAGCCATGCAGCTTGACTCGACCCCTTCGATATCTCCACCAGCTGCTGATCGGTCGACAAGGGAAGCTGAACTCAATGTTCCTGGTGACCAGAACGAGCAGACGAATCCTCTAGAATCAATTTCAGAACCACAAAATCTCTTCACCGGAAGAGATTTTATATCTGGCAGTGGTGATCAAAACACGCAGATCAACTTTTCGGCGTTTAATCTAGAGCGTGCCTCTCTAACAGAAGATGGAACGGCGATAAATTGTTCTCAGAACGACAATTCTCCACCCAAACGCGCACATGAAGCATGGAAACTCACTCTTGCAATTGGGGCATTGGCAACAACTGTGATATTGATTGGCAATATCGTGTTTCTCGTCATTATATGTGTAAAGTATCCGACTCAAAGCCCAAGTGTAGCAGTTTACAGAGGTGATTGCGCGACTGCAGGGCATTTAAACACCATGGCCGATGTGATTCTCAATGCCCTGAGCACGGTCCTGCTCGCTTCCAGTAACTTCGCCATGCAATGCTTGAATTCCCCAACGAGAAGCGAAGTGGACTTGGCTCATGCAAAACAACACTGGCTTAGAATTGGTGCTCCGAGTATTCGGAATCTGCGCTTCATCTCGAAGCGCAAAGCATTTTTATGGCTTCTCCTTGGAGCAAGCTCATTTCCGCTCCATATGATTTGGAACTCCGTTATCCTTGATAGTGATGAAGTCAGAAGGTTTCTTGCTGTTACGGTCACGGAAAGCTTTAGCAAAGGGGGATATTGGAGCATGCCTCCTGTATCCAGACCTCTCAGATACAATGAGTCGCTCTTATTCTCGTTGTATCATGATATGATTGCAGACTTGCAGCAACAGGCTCAGAAGAACCAACTTGGGTCCATCGATTCTCCGTCATGTTTGCGTGAAATTACTTCTAGCGTTGCTACCTTACATGGAAGCGTCCTCCTCCTTGTCGATGCATCCACTTATTCGCCTATTGAGTCTAACTCCCCAACGAACTCCTCAGTTCTGGCTGTGTATCACTTGCAACCTGGGATGCCAACCAGTCATAAAGAGGGCCTTGATTGGTATCCTCAGTATCCAGACTTTGGCCACCCAGGCGGTGCGCCCATCATTTCCTGTCAAGGGAGGCTCGTTTCAGAAACTTGCACACTTGATATTATGCCAGCCTTCTTAGGGGTTGTTATTGTTTGCAACGCTCTCAAGTTGGTATCTTTGTTATTGATACCGTACGTCATGGGTAAGGATCCTCCACTGTGCACAACTGGCGACTTCATACAATCATTCCTCCAAAGACCGGACATATACACGCAAGACCGGTGTTTAGCAACAAAACGAGGATTTGAGAATCGTGTTCCTTTCAGGTCCAAGAGTTGGTCGTATCGCCAATTCGATCGAGATATCTGGAATGCTCGAGTTTCACATTGGATTGAGGCTGTCAATCTCTGGCACTGGGTGATGCACACTTCCCTCCTGGTCATTTTCTTGGCTATCATCGGAGTCTTTGCCTCCGGTGGTGTTCCTCTAAGGTATCAATATAACGGACCAACTGATTTTGTTGCGATGTTTCGAGGCTCAAATAATATCTTCCCTGCCCTACTTTTGGGCAACGTGCCCCAAGTGGTTATTTCATATTTTTCTCTCGCGGTTTACAACGCTATCACAACCATGCTGACCATGTCTGAGTGGTGCGAATATTCTGTGGCATCTCCAACGCCCGCTAAGGGCCTCCGAGTCTCATACCCTCATCCTGGCACAGTGCAACGCAAACCCTACTTTTTTTCAATCCCATTGAAATGGATACTTCCCTTCATCGCTGCTATGACCGTTATTCACTGGGCAATGTCCCTCGTTCTTCCGATTTCACACACCACGCATCATTCAATTGGCTCGGAGTTGAAGATAGTCAGCCCTTTGGTCCAGACGGATGTTTTGGTAGCTTTTCGGTGGCTGATGATAAGCATGTCTATCGCCGCAGGTGTTATTGTCGTTGTTTTTTCGCTCGCTGTTTTCATGACTTTTCCTAGTGGTATGCCTTTGGCGGGCTGTTGTACTGCTAGCATTGCGGCTGCTTGTCAGCCCACCAGGCGACAGGGCAGTGACCTAGCTGCACAAAGGGAGTTTGCTCCGGGGTTAGAATATCAAAAGCTCAAATGGGGCGTAGTGGTGGATCCTGCTGAGACACATGATGGAGTTGGACATGCAACCTTTACCGATGGGCCTACAGTGCCACTGGAGAAGGGAAAAATATACAGATAAGGGCCTCAGAATTGAAATCAACATAGAACACCTTCTGATAGAAAGAGTTCTGTGGATTGACTTGGTGGGCAGAAGTGTATTCCCAGTATGATGGATACCAACCAGCAGGTTCGCAATCAACATTTAGGCTAAGAGGTTTTACATCAAGTGCAAACCATGCAAATTATGAGGCCCACTTTTTGGCTTCAGACTTTATGACGTCACATGATACATTCATCTGTAAGGCCGACATCAACTCTGGCATTTTGACACTTGGACGATTGGCAAGATCTTGACATGATTAATTTCACCAGCCCAGTATTTCGCATGTTCGCTCGTCACTTCCGATAAGACCCTGGACCCTGGGCCTGGGCTCCCCAATTATGTCTAGTCTTCACGAGCTCCTTCACCGACAGCGACCAGGACGATGGCAAGAATTCCGCGCCCGGCCTTGTGTCTTCCTCGCAAAAATGCTTTATGGCTGGTACGAGCATATTCCAGCTATGCCACTCACAAAACCTATCGCAGTTGTCTGTATCTCTGATACCCACAACACCCAAATCGACGTCCAAGATGGAGACATCCTCATCCATGCTGGTGATCTCACACAATCTGGATCTTTTCAGGAACTTCAAGATTCGATCAACTGGCTACACAGACTACCTCATCCCACCAAAATCGTGGTTGCTGGCAATCATGACCTACTACTTGATTCAGCGCGGGATGATGTGTCCCGTCGAGCAGCCTCCGAGCGAGCTCAAATCGACTGGGGAGATATAATCTATCTCGAAAACGAGGAAGTCAGAATTGATTGCCCAAATGGTCGTCAAGTGAGGGTCTACGGAAGTCCCAACTCTTGCCGCCATGGCAACTGGGCCTTTCAATATCCCCGAAATCAAGATGTATGGGCTGACTCAGTACCAGATGGAATTGATGTGCTGATTACTCATGGCCCACCACTTGCTCATCTTGACTTACTGAAGTATGGCTGTCCTTACTTGCTGCAGACCTTATGGAGACTTCGGCCAAGACTACATGTATTCGGCCATATACATGAGGGCACTGTCGCTGCTGGAGGGGGCTTGAAAAATCTATTGATTACAGCCTGGGAGTTTGTTAGGGAAGTCCTCCGCCCAGCCGTGGAAGCAAAATGTTTACTTGTAAATCCTGCCATCGTTGGAGGACTAAGGGACAATGAACGAAGGCAGTCTATCAAAGTTTTTATCTAATTTTACAATCTTGCTAACCAACTATTTTGAATCCCATCTGTACAATTGTGCTATGCATGCTTCCGTGTCTCTTCCCTAGGTAAACCTCTGTAGCTCAGCGTTCTTTCCTTACAAGAGGTCGTTTCTATGAGCAACCATCCTCCTAGAAAATTGATCATGGACCCATGGACGCCCCTTCCCAATGGATTTCCATGGATGTAAGCACCTTCTGTCGGGTTCCCTCGACCTTTCAGCTAATCAAGAAACCCTTCTCAATTCAAATTTCAATAAATTTCGAAAAAATGCCGTCTAGGGATACGGTTTTGTTGCTTGTTTGTGCCCACATCACGACCGTAATCACCATTGTCCGTGGCTCGCGGGCGACTTGGCGCTGGTGTCAAAGAACATGGGCCTGGATAGGCGCCCACAGGGATCGTCGCCTCCATGCTATCGAGCTGGAGGAACTTGGAGTCCGGGTGAGGCAAAACTTTTTGATAGAGGAGCTCACGCGGTGGGCCATGTTGGACTGGATGCATGAGAATACCGTCCAGCCTGATTTCTTTAAGGAATGTCGATCTTCCCAATACGGGCCTCAGCCCGTTTTATTCAGGTGAGTGCCCCCCTCCCCCCCCCTCCCTCTTCATGTTTGCTAACTATCTCTTAGACATTGGTGTTGGTGGTTGTTCTAATGATAGCCTTACTGTGTCCAATCATTTCCCAACCATCCAGGCGATAAACTTCAACCGGGAGAATATCAAGAATATCAACGACACTACAAATGCGATGACCATGATACCTGATCTGAATCGGTCTTTTGGTCGGTTTGACTTTTTGCTTGAAGAGATCTCCCAGCCTCACAAATACCCGCATCCAAAAATATCGCCCACGACGATTTCGACTAAACCTCCCTCGCACTGCGCTTCCAAAAATTCTTTGTGTTGAGACTGGCTGGCAAGAGAAAGAGAAGCGAACCGACTGAATTCACTGTGGGGAGAGAAAGAGAGAGAAGGGAGAAGCTAGAAGGCTGCGAGCTATCTGAATATGGGGGTTGGGGCGAATACCCTACACAGCACAAGGTTCAGATTATGAAGATTCTTTTTTTCTCCACTTCTCATTAGTCAGGAGGAATTGGGTCACTGGGAGTGATCGTTAGACTAGGTTTTATCAAGGTAAGCTAAGCTATACTGCAGTAAAGATGCGTTTAGTAGCGTAGTGGAGATTCCTCATCGGCAGCCTGTTCTTCTCCCAACCGCCTATCCATACCTTCAGCACTCTGTCGATTGCGCTGGGGACTTTTTTCAGAATCTGGGAACTCTGTCCGAGTCTGCTGGACGTTCCCCCGTTTGTATATAGATCCGCTCCCCGACTCTCTCTCTTCCTCTCTCTCGTCCTCTCTCTCGTCCTCTCTCTCGTCCTCTCTCTCGTCTTCTCTCTCGTCTTCTCTCTCGTCTTCTCTCTCTGTCTCTCTGAGCAGTGTATTCAGTCGGTTCCCTCCGTTCCTTTCTTTCTTGCCGATAGGTCTCAACAAATACGTAGTTGGTTGATCAAAATAAATAGTGTGACTTGCCAGCGCGAGAACTGAGGACACCCAGTGTTGTTGCAGCTAGCATAGACGAAATGTCAGTGCTACCGTCCTTTGCTAATACACTGTGCCCTCCTAAATCACGGAGAACTTTTCGATCTGCTCTGCTACACCGGACGCATGAAAGATGTATGCGACGATTGAATGAATTTTGAGAAGCTCCGGGTTCGGCAGATCGTATCTTTGGTCGTGCCAATTAAATTCAACAGTGCGAGGGAAGTGTTTTAGGAGTCGTGGGCGGTGGTTTTTGATACGGTATTTGTGAGGCACACGGGTTGCTTCAAACGAAAAATCAAACAGACTAAAGTTTTGATGGTAATCAGTTGACATGGTCATTGCATTTGAAGTATTGTTAATATCCTCTCGTTGGAAGTTCATCGTTTGGATGTTTGATGCGTTAGTAAGGACTCTAATAAAATATTTTGATAGGGATCAGATGTACCTGTCAACATCGAAAGCAGAACGAGTCTAATATGAGATTCTGACATGGGCAATGCCTACCTGTGACTGTAGCAAGCCAAGCAGGAGTGATTAAGGCGTTTTGGATGAAAAAGTGGCATTCTGAAAGATATGGGAAAGTGAGAATCTTACAATGTTGACAGAACTACGAGCGATGGGAAGCCACGGAGTACCAAGATGGAAGGTGCGAGCCTGATGTATGTGATACAACCACGGTTGATGCCACATCTGATCTTGTGCCAACAGACAATGTGTACGCAGACTACGTCTCTGAGACGTATAATGTGTTTTATAAATCTCACCATTCGTGGTATTATTGTAGCGACCAAGTAAACCATGAAGCCCTGATCTTCAAAGGGTTTGATAATGCCCAAGGGGCTGTTTTCTGTGGGTGTTTCTATTCCACATAACATGCATTATGCTATGAAGCGGGCTGATTGCCTTCCAAGGTCTGTGCCCATGCAGCATTCGAGCTAGAACAGGCGAGAGACGTGGAGAATTTCCGAGAGAGTGTTGAATGTACCATAGTTCTACTTAAGTAGTCTACCCAGAGGAACCCACGAGATGAGTGGACGGGGGTTCGCGTGTGATCTGAAGGTTCATGTATCGAGGTGGATCTCAATCCTGAGAAATTTTCGCCATATTTGGTTCTCGTGTTCTATTCCCTGCTCTTCTCATTGGATTCTGTTACCCAGGTAATTGACGGCAATAGGCTATAAGAACAACAGCTTTCACCTTGACCATCCAACATGCTACAGCAAATATGAGGGCCACCCTTGGTCTCAAGGAGATCAATCTAACGTTACCTTGAATCTAGATATGTCAATATCTGTCTTTTCGTTTTGGACCAATTGGGCGATGAGCTTGCCGCTCCCAATCCCAAGAGTAATACCGTAAGATCCATGACCGTAGCAGATGAAGACCCCCGAGGAAGTTGGATTTGTTCCTTCCGACGAGAACAAAAGGCGAGAAGGGACCTCACTGATGAATGGAAGACCGGAGACTGTCGACGGCCGAAAGGATCGCCCTTGAGCAAGAACGGATGGGTGAAGAGTTCCTTCTCCTTTCCCACCCTGACCGAAATTCAAAAATCTCCTGGAATAAGTCAAGAGCTCAGAGATCATTGATTCATCTGGTTCATCGACGTCGTTTGGCGAAGGCAGTTCAGCGCTATAGTTTCTGCGGCCACACACCCAGACAGTTCCATCGTTTCGTCCCGCGAATTCCAATTTCTCGTGTACAATTTCGTCGAAGAAGACAACAGCGAGAGATCGACTATCAAGGATCTTTTTGTTTTCCATCACCACCCAGTCACCAGCATTAATCGACGGTTGTAAGTCCAGTGTTGAGCCGGGGAAAAGAGTCTTGACTAGAGCAGGCGTCCACGGACCGGCAGCAAGAACCAATTTCCGACAAAGGAGGACGTATGTCTCGCCTGTCTCGACAGAAAGGCATTCCAAGCCCTCTAGTGCATTATTATTTGACAGGATGCCCGCCACGGCGGTCGTTGCGGTCCGTATCTCAACCCCCATCTGCCCACATTCACGCTCCAGCCACTCTGCGATACCTCGTGGGTTTCTACAAAGTATCAGCAACTGCACTATATCACTTTTCCACATTAGAAAACTGACACTACAGCGCAAGGGTCACCTCGGCTGCCCCAATTTATGTCCCATTGCTCCTCCTTTGCAATCCAATTCGGCAGAGCCTTCTCGTCCGACCCAGAACCAGGTATAATCGGAAGGAGAGAATCAGGCCGATATCCAGTATTTAATACGAATTGAGCGTCATTCTGAGCTATGGGGTGCCACATGTCGAAGGAGTATTTTCCCAGTGGTGTTATGTCTTCTCCAAATGATTCTGGAAAGTAATAGTGTAGACAACCGGTGTTGTGTGCCGACGCAGCGGAGAACGCTGAGGATCTAGACTCAAGCACTATAATTTTCTGCCTCAATGGTGCTGTAGTAGCCTGGTTCTTGCGTGCCAAGTTGTAAGCCGCAGATAGCCCAATAACCCCCCCTCCAACGATAACAACGACACACTCAGCCTCATCAGCGGTGGGTGGGGAGGGTGATAGCGAGTCGTTGCGGCCGAAGTAAGACCTGAAGTAAGATAGCGGGTTGAACATCATTCGATTGACTGTTGAAAAACACCTAGGGACTTTTTGGTCTGGAGAGGTAACAACGGATTGTTATGTCAAGGTGGTCGAATAAATTTCAGGGAAGATGAGCGGTCAAGTGGATAAGAAGTACTCCGTGAGTTAAAGGGAGTTAAAGCGGGACACCCGCGCCCCGCCTGTTCCAGAAGTAACTACATGGCGGAAAACAGCATAAAGTTGACCAGGCGATGAGAGAGACTAGAGCCACGCCCGCGTACGCATTCGCGAAGTGCGCTAAACCAAAAGGACCATGTAGCGAAACAACGAGCCTCTCAACATCCAAAATCCGATATGGTGTAGTGGCTAACATCGTCGTCTCTCACACGACAGCCGGGGGTTCGATTCCCCCTATCGGAGATTCTTTTTGTTTCATTTTTTGTTTTCCACCCCTTGCCATTCAATTGTGTGACTCCACCCAAGATTGAGCCATTGCCGGCGTAGTAAGAAGAAAAAGAGATGGCCTTCATCATTCCTGGCTGCTACAGTGTAGTATTCTGCTCCGGGTTGAACCAGAGTACATATTACCGGAGGACAAAATTGTACTTATATTGACGTTGCCAAGCTTCCCGTTGCCAATTTTCTTATCGCTGACATGTGAAGATCGGAGGTTTTCGATTTTATTTTGAACTTGTTTTTTTTTGTCAGATTCTTTTTCTTTTTTCCTTCATACTTCTTTTGTTTACTCTCAAAATTTATACAGACTCTCATGGACTACTCGGCATTCCCAACCTTTCCCATTCCGGCCTCGATTCGGCGGCGACTCCCCCGCCTGTACCTTTCTCGGGCCGGATCAAAGGACATGGCCGGTGATCCCCGCCGCGGACTGGCCTCTTCTTCCGAGCCTCAGCTGTGTAACATCCAGCTAGTGGAGCCAACCCTTGACAGCCGGCCCACAACGGCAAGTGACGATCTTGATTTCGATGCTGGGTCCAGAGGCTCAGAGACCCCAGCCGAGGAAATGGGTTCTCCTACGAAATATGAGGCCGAGTCTGGGTTGCGCTGGAATCGAGTAGTGCCCGGTGAGTTCATGCTGCCTTGGTATTCAGGTTACCAATTGGTTGCACAGCTGTCACTGACGGGTTGGTTCTTTACGCATTGAAGCTTTTAATCTTCTCCGCAATGCAGGATACGAGGCCCAGCAACCTCATGCTGACGGCCGATTAGCGCGGTCTTTATATGTGAATGCATTGGTCTACCTACTCGATGCTTTACCCCAAGAATTGAGTGGTGAGGAAACAACCATGCTCCAGCATCATATCCCAGAGCAGATAACGGCGGCGTTGACGGCCTACCCACCCCGCTATGTGGACAGGGAGCCTCGATCATGCCACAATCCTAGATCTTACCTGCACAAGGTCCTTGCCTCGGTCATCTTGCAGGTATTCATACTACTGCGATTTCTATTGCCATATGTCAAGCTTCTCTTACGCCAAGTGTATGAGTATGAACGAACACACCGCATTACTGAGCGGGTCTTGACTGCCACACTGGATGCTGCGGATGGTCTGGGGAAAGGCAGTGTTAGTATCGGAGCTTCTGTCTGCCGACTGAACGAAGGTCGGGTTGGGGCTGCATTGTCCAATCTTGCAGCTTGGTGGATGGAAGGGGTTGCTGGTGGGATATATGAAGGCGTGGGAGAGGGGATGGTGCATTTGGGTATCATTGGACAAGAAGTGGAGCTGGGTGGATTTCCGATGCATTCAATGGACAGATAAATAGATTCAATGCTTATACTAACCTAGAATAGATGACTAGATGGTTGCATTTTCCTTGCAAGCGCAGGGACTAGAATGTGGCTGCTACTCGCGAGTACAGACGAGTACAGACGAGTACATATGCGTAAACATAGTTGGACAATACAGTGATTTCAATTCGAAACTGGGGACATAGTACTACGTCTGCTACTCAAATATTTACTTTGACCTTTTCCCCTGTCCGAACTTTTGTCTCAACTCCACCATCTTCAGGGCTGTTTTGCCCCGTAGATCAGCGATAAGCGCGATAAGCACCGCGAGCTCTCTCCCGCCAACCACCAACTGCTTCGATCCGCGAAAGCATGTCGACCTCTAAGCTACCCTGCATTCCTTCTCTCCGGAAGCAACAGCTTCACCTCGAATTGTGAGCAACCTCTTGCTCACGCAGACGATTGAAGTTAATCATCGATAGCGCGAGCTTAAAACATGCCGCACCGCCAGGGGTCTACGTGAGTCTCTCGCCGGGGGACCCAACACTATGGAATGGTGTGATATTTGTTCGATCAGGCGCGTCAATCCGCAAGGACCGGTGGAATCCAATACTAATGTCTCGCCAATCTACAGGTCCATACGCATCAGCCGTACTCCGCCTCCAACTCCGTTTCCCTGACACCTACCCCGATCTCCCACCTATCGTCACCTTTTCTACCGACTTGTTTCACCCATTGATCGTACCTCTCACCACATATACTTTCAGCACCGGCTCGGCAAGCGATAACCCCGTTAGCGCGACAGACGACGAGCGATTATCACCGGGTGGATTCAGCCTGCGACATGGATTCCCTCATTGGTTTGGCAGAGCAAGACGTAGCGGTCTGGCATCGGGAGCTACATCAAGAAACGTGAGTGGAGCCAGCGCGAGTGCCGTGGAATCTGGACAAGAAAACCCGGTAGACACAGTGACGCATGATGGTGCTTCCGACGTGTCAGAACCTCCAGGGGCTTCCAAGACCGAAACAGCGACGAGTGAAGAATGCGAGAAGCGCAGTTCACCTTTGGCCAAAGTGCCTACCTATCATATGCCCGAACCCAGGAATGTCGTCCCTGTGTCCGAGATATTGAATTATATTCGGTCAACTTTCGACGATGAATCAGTTTTGGATTCGCTACCGGAGGAGGCGGCCGGAAATCCGGGAGCATGGCATGCGTGGAAGGCACATCGTCGAGGGGGGTCTGGTCCTGGAAACTTCAAAAAAGGAAGCCCTCAGGCTCGACTACCCGGTGACTGGCACTGGGATGGAATCTGGGCTCGTCGAGCAAAGGAAGAGATCGAGAACTCTCGCTCCGAACCAATGCTGTTTGGGAGTGCCGCTCGTGGTATGGATGAAATGGTATGGAACTGACACTTTCCCTCACCTTATCTTCATGCTAACCCGATTTTAGATTCGTTTCTCGCGGTTGGATGATGCGACGTCGGGCTCGATCAAAGAAAAGATGACTGCAATGGCAGAACATGGTTTATAATGGTTCATTGCTCCAAGTCAACTATTTCTTTTTCACGCAAAGAGAACTCGGGGAACTTCCACTTTTGTGCTCACGGGTGGCTGCTTCCTTTCTCGAATGGTGTATCTCGAGGTCCTTCCTACGACTTAGATAGCTTGGCTTTCCAGTTTTCACATATCCCATCATGCTCTATAAGCTATCATATGATATCAGAACTTCAGCTTTAATCATTGCATTGATCCTGGTCCCTCTCGTTGTCCTCATCGCTGTCGTGACTATCGCTCTTGCGTGTTCTAACTACTGGAGCTACCATTCCCTCAGAGCTTGTCTTTGTGGTCGACCGAAACAGTGGAAGCGCAGAAAAATCCCATCAGACTCGGAGAATTGCCCTTCGTCTCGGACAACAGACGCGTCAGATAGTCGGATTGAGTTTGAACGCCCTGTCAGCAACAGAGAACACATCTAGAATCCCGAATCATGGAAGGCACACACCATATTCCGCTGACGGTCAAACATCAGTCCTCCCGCGCCAGATTTCGTGGAACCATTTTAACCTCGACCTCCTTCTCCAACTTGCCCTATCCTCGGATACCTTCTCGTCGTTCCTCGCTTTCCATGAGTACAGGTGATGATTCAAGCTCAAACGGGTTGGCAACTTCTACCAGAACTCCATCGCTCACCGATAGTCTTTACAACATTCAAGTAGTGAAGGTCCGACAGGACCACGACAATCAAACTCGCAGTATCCAAAAGACCAAATGCCCTGATATTAGCGAAGACCCGTTTGTGGACCAGGTGAGAGACCAGTCTTCTGCACTGTCCACACTAGCTGACTTTTATATCAGACCCCTCGACGCTGCGCTGCTCTCCGTGAACAGACGGGTAGAGGCGCTCCAAATCTGATTGTTCGCTGGAGCTCTGGGTCATATGCCTCGGTGGACCCGTGTATCTCGCCAGATCCAAACTCCTCCTCGGCATCCCGGTCTGACAGTATGGAGCAGCTTCCTCGCCCCGTGTCAAAACAGCATGAAGCCCGAGTGAACAGTGATCGACTTTCAGAAAAGAGTTTCGATTCGAATCTGATGTATCCTTTGGAACTACCTGTGACCTTTGCCAAGATCAGATCTTATGCAGGCAAGCCTTGCCTAGGCGCTGATTACTCCAGGTCTCTCTGGGTTTCGGTCAATGTAACTGCCGACGTCAATCACATCCCCATGCCGGAGAAGACCAGACTTGCACCTCTTGATATGATCGTACTTTTTGACTACCCGCAACGACCTTCTGTCGGCCGTTTGACACCAATGATGCTTGCATCTTCGATCCTGACTTCAAATCTCATCTCCAACCATGACAGGTTGGCCGTTGCATGTGTGGATGGGAACACAAGAACTGGATTTGACCTCTTACTTCCCCTTGGGTTCCATTCATACGACACGACAAGAGGTGCATTCGACAACTTCTTTCTGCGCCAGCTCCAAAAGAAGCAAAGGCCCAGAACCACCCCAGACCTGAGCCAAATTCTCCGCCAGATATCCCACCTGTTCTCCGCCTCTCACCGGGCAACTTTTGGTCATTTGATGCTTGTCTCTGCAAATCCTCCCTCGCCTGATCCCTTGTTGATATCGGGTATCGACAGAGCTATCGGGGTTCATACGCTATCCCCGCATTCTCGTTTCCCGTTGGATACGGAGAATCACCCACTGGGCTGGCACATCTCCTACGACGAACACGCAGAAGATTTACAACACAAAGAATCTCATCTCACACGCAAGGTTGCCCAAGTCGTTCGTCAGATACGCACTGGAACCACTCCGGGGTTCTTGTCAAACCTCAATCTTTATATGGGGCTTGGTCCAGGGTGCCAACTGCTGTCGGCGAACACAATTGATTGCTGCCAATTGGTACGGTTACGACCAGGTGAAACTTGGGTTTCCAAAGTAAAAGTCGGTGTGCCTCATCTTTACCAGGAGGCTGAATGGCAGTTCACTGCACATCCCATCATACAAGACCTGATTTATCAGCTCAACGAGGTCATCGGATTGTATTCGTCTCAGCAGCTTGTACAGCATATTCTCAGTGCTGGTCTAAAATATCAGCACTCATTGCTGCCGGGGCCGCATGAGACCTATTTGGAATCCCATTGTACCATTGCTCGAGAGGCAACCTTTTCATCATGTTCCTCTTCAGATGACTCCAACTTGGAGCTCCTTTCTTATGAAGACGATGGTAGTATCAGTGCTAGTTTGGGATCCTCAAGTGAGGGAAGCTGAACTTTTGGTTGTCTCTTCGAAGGGGATGGATCAGTTCAATATTTTTACACGCACATTCTATTAGGACATTGAGAATCAACCCCTTCTTTCGAACATCATTTTTGCAATCCACGATACATGTCTTCTCTATGTCTTTGCTAAACTAGTGGCAGGGCCAACGTGGGATATTAGATGCGAGGATACACATTGCCCGCCATTCGCCAGGTCTCCTTAATCAAATCGGCACACTTCTCGCCAATACCGTAAGCCGGCATTTGAGTGTGACCACCATGAAGCGTGGGCATAACACTGCAGTCAGCGACTCTCAGCCCGGCGATACCTCTGACCCGCAGCTTTTCATCCAGAACAGCCATAGGATCACCCTTCTTTCCCATGGCACAAGTACCCGCGGCATGGTAACCTAACAAAAATCACAATTAGCTCAATTCCCAAAGTCCTTTGCAGCGAAAACTCACAGGTAGTAGCATGCTCCTTCACATAGGGAACCCAATCCTCCCTCGACTTATAAGTATGATGATTCAAGTTCGGCGGCCAAGACCCCTTGACAATATCCTTCGTTCCAGCACCCTGCATCACAACCTCGTTGGCATACCGACACGCCTCACTAAGCACCAGCACATCCAACGGATCAGTTAGATAATTGCAATCGACGACCGGGTTCTCCATCGCATTCGCCGATTTCAGCGTCACCGAGCCCCGCGACTTAGGCGCGAATAGTTCCGCAATCATGGAGAATGCGTGCTGGTGGTTGATTGGGAATTGGTCGTACTGCTTCGGTCCGCCGTAGCATTCGGTGTTGAAGAATTCGATATTGGGCTGTTTGGGCGTGAGCCCCATGGGATCCCGACCAGGGGATCGAGGGGCATTTTGCCAGAGAGGAGAATCTTTGAGTCGGTCGTCTAGTCTGGCGAAGGCGAAGCCACCGAATGGGAATGTTGATAGGAAACCGCTTTTCTTTTCTTTCCATTGTTGGTAGGTTGTGTTGAAATTGTCGTCGTGGTATACGTGGGAGTCGTTTGTTAGGCCCTTCTTCTCTGTTTCGTAGAACATGAATACGATCTAGGCTGGGTTAGTTTTCGGAATTTTTTATGAAATTTTGGGAATGGCTCTGTGTAATGAACTGACCAGGTGATCCATGAGATTCTTGCCCACTCCTGGCAGGTTGATTGTACAGGGAATATTGTGCTGCGCAAGTTCCGCCTGGGGTCCAATACCAGATCGAAGTAAGATCGCGGGACTGCAGTATGCGCCTCCGGAGATGATGATTTCTTTTTTAGCATAGTAAATCCTGGAGACACCATCTGATGTCTGTGTTGCCACTCCAGAGGCACGGAGTTCATTCGCCTTGTTGAAAATGATCTTGTCGACCGTGGTGTCAGTCTTGATGGTGATGTTACCACGGTGATTCTTGTTGGTCACAAAATCAGCTCCTGTGATTCGAAGGCCCTTGTAAACTGTACGAGGAACATGTCCACAGCCTTGCGCAACATCTCCAGTACTGAACATGTCATGGTGTAGCGGCATGCCTTGCGAGGCGTAAGATTCCATCAATAACTGGGAAATTGGCGCTAGGTCGTGCGGTTCGGTATGTAGAGGGCCGGAATAGCCATGGCTCGCTTTGTCGGCTTGGAACCATCCCTTGGGGTGGAATGTCTCTGACTGTTCACTGTCAATGATTATTCTCATGGAGATTCCAGCTAGAACCAGGCGTACCTTTCGCATGCTCTCAAAAAATTCCTCGCCGCTCCATCCCTCCAAGCCCCAGTCGTCGTAGTCCTGCTTGTTTCCTCGAATACAGAGAGTTCCATTGCATCCACTAGATCCTCCGAGGAAGCGACCCCGACTCAATTTCACCTGGCGATTGTCGACTCCTGCCATGGGAGGGGTGACAATGTTCCAATCGGTCTCAGCATCGAAATTATTCGACCACCTAGCTTGTCAGCATCACATTTTCTTAAAGTTGCAGTTGAGTGTAAAATCTCACCCGCCAGCCATATGGACATTCTCAAGATCTTTGTTGTGCTGTCCAGCTTCAAGCAGCAAGACTCTAATCTCTGGATTTTCCGCTAAACGGCCAGCAACCACACAGCCGGATGTTCCTCCTCTATGTCCACATTAGTACGATTGAACACCATCACAAAGAATGCATCATACCCGCAAACAATATAGTCATAAGTGTCATTTTCCGCCATGATGAGAGGTGGTAAAAAATAATAATTTCACCGGGAACCGACAAGAGAGAATGTGAAACCTTTTAAGTCGTACATTTGACATGGCGGAGCTGCGGGACGGATTCCGCATACGAATAGCGGCAACACGTCGTTTAGCAAAACATAATCTTCGCGCTATGTGTTGAGTCGTGAACGACGATTGGAGATCAATCATCCACTTTCACGACGAGGCTGCAAGAAGAAAAGATATTTTGTGGGTCCGATAGGGGGGCCTGAAGGGGACGAGCCGTGTCAAGTGGATCAGGAATGGGGCGGAATATTCAGTCCACTTTTCCGAAGCTATTCACAACTTTCCCCCGCATCTCGGCTTCCCCGCAGATCCAAGTTTGTCGCCGTGAAATTCGGGTTCCGCACTCCCGCTGTTGGGAATCCGAGATCTACTTACCCTTCCTCCATCGGTCGAGGATCGACAAGCCACAGACTCATTTTTCATCCTTTTCTAGGCGGCTTCATTCCACATTCTCGAGGCATGCGAAGTAGTAAGGTAGCAATTCGAGAGGCCGGGGTAGATTCTCCACTAGGGATAAACAGGAGGCATGAGTTGACCTTCATTACTAAAGCGGTTCTATTGAGACGCCGAGAAATTATCCAGAGCAGGTCCCTGATCTTCAAATTCTTTTCGGTCCCACACTGGATCCCCATCGTCATCGAATTCCGCCCATTGAAAGAACGAACACCCCTCATTCCCCGGAGTATAACTGGCATAACACATCCACATATATCGCCCCCGCGTTTCTTGCTTACGGTGCGCGCATCGGAGGATCGCATGCTGTCCACATTTACATCGCGGCGTATACCGGGGATGAAGAGAATCCCGATACCACCGGTAGGTAATATTGATTCGACGATTCCCAGAAATTGGATGTGGAACGATGCTTTGTGCAGGGGCAATGCAATGTTTCCACTCCTCCTGCATCTCTGCGTGCATCACAAGGAGTGAGTTGTGAGGCAGATGAACTGAAATCTGCCCTTGCAAATCAGCACGTGCAGCTGCATTCTGGTTCTGGGGACGATTTGGGTCGGTCAATTTCTTGTCTTTGTTCTCTTCGTCGTCCTCGTCTTGTGCTATCATACGGCGGATGCGGAACTCGCGTGATACGCCGAGACTCAGGCTTCCAATGACAGGATGAGGACCGAGATAAGTCAGTCCATCAGAGTGGTATCCCACACTCTCAGCGGGGCCATCGTAGCAGTTGACAAATGCCGCGTTGGGTTTCCACTCTTTCGATGACTGATACTGAAGCTTCTTTCCGTTTGGATAGACGTCGCGGATTCGTTTCTTAATCTCATCATTGACGACCGTTTGGACCTGGCGTGAAACAGAACGTAGATTCGGCGTTGCTTGTCTCACATTTGAAAAATATGTCCCGCCATATGTGTAATCTGACATTTGCTGCTGTTGTTCCTCGGGCGTTGAGACATACACGGCGTGTGTATGAGGACTCTGAACAGTGCGACTGAAGAGTTGAAAGGTAGACCTTGTAAGATATTTCGACTCCTCCAGAAGTTCTACCAAAAGTTCGTTCGCTGTTTCTGGTGGCAGAAAGTTATGAATGATAGTGCATGGCGTATAAGCTGCGATGTCCTCTGGTGAATAAAGATGTAGTGTCTTGCCTTTTCTCGTAGGCGGTGGTTTCTTCTTGGTTCCTGCCTCATTGATCGGTTTCAAAGTTCCATCTTCACTTGTTTTAAGGACATGCGAGGAAAGAGATGTTTGCGTGCCAAGTGAGCCTGCAGCGGCTCGCTTTTTGGTTGTCAGGATGTCGGCTGCGGGCCCTTGCGCGGAGAGCGTTGAGGAGGCTGCCTCAACAGATCCTTCGCAGGACACCAGTATATCTAGCAGCTCTTCTTGCTTGATGTTTGGAAAGAGAGATAGTAGAATTGCAAGCTTTACGTCAGTGGAATCCTCGAGGCACGGGTCAGATGGATGTTTGTCCAGCCGAGGCTCTTCATCTTGCGAGACTCGCCGGCGCTTCCTGGAGACAAATGCATCCATGAGTTGTGCTCCCAAAGTCGATCCTTGTGTATTCAGGTTGATCTTTTCTCGATTCTGTGGGAAGTGAACAAGCCCTGGAAGTCCCCAGGACATCTGCAGATTTGTCGACTGCTTGATAAGCCGCAATGCTGATAATCGTCTTATCGGCACATGACCTGCCTCAAACTGACCAATCATAACGCTGTACTATAGATCGAACTATCCGAGTTGGAACTCATGACAACTTGGCCACAGACTTCAGAACCCAAGAAGAGATAGATGCCCAGGTAGTTTGAGATGTTTCATGAGGTTGAATTGAGCATTATACTTGGGTACCCCCAAGCTCCTTGAGCTGGATGCCTCAGTGATATATTCCAAAATGGCTTTTGCCTTTATATGTGATTGCCGATCACTTGCGCAATGGGTTATATTTTGTCTATTGGGGCTCATCATCGAAGATGCTTCACATTAAACGTGACACGAGTCTCAAGCCTCAAGATTTGCTCCACTCGCCTTCTCCCAAATAAATCCGACCCTCGCGATGATAATCAACCAACGATTTGAGTTGCCTTAGCCCATCGAAAACCTCTACTAACGCATCAAGAGCCACCGTTGTCCAGCCATGATAGGCTCCCCTATACTTCTTGACACAATCAGATACACCATCAATATCAACCTGTGGATGGTCGCTCATTCGCGAGTCAGGGAAGTTCTCCTCAACGACCTTCACCCAGCAACTCCCCAAATCGACATCCCCTCCAACCATGGAGGAGGCGTCCAAAACATTCTTCAAATGCGACAACACCTTGTCATCAACCATTAAACAGACACGCAATCTGCTCGGGAGTTCTGTCTCAGGTATCGCCAGCGCCACCTTGAACTCATGAAACACCTGACGAATCCCCTCCTCGCTCATATCGGCGAACATATCGCGTGAATTGAAAAATTTGGACGAGTACGTCTCTGTGAGGATGCGGAATTGCTCATCGGTGCCGGTCAGGGTGCGACGCAACGATTGACCCACGGCGTCGTTCAGGCATCGTAGGAATACCGGGAGGAGACGCTTGGTATCGGGGGCGTAGGATGTGCGGTATAGAATGGGACCCCATGATAGAGTGAGGAAATCACGTTCTGGGCCTGGAGGTAATGAACGCAGACCTGGGGACGCCCCAAGACTAAAGACTTCCTCTTTGAGGAATTCTTCTGCCGAAGATGTATAGTGCTTATACTCGGGCATCGCATGATCGCATCCCATGGGAGCGAGGGGTTGATAATGCCTTTTGCTAATCATGATATATGAGTATGTGGATTTGCGAAGTTAGAGTACTCTCGAAGGCAGGGGTTGCAGAGGAATGCGATCTCAAAAAGAGGCCAACCGTAACGTCATTTCCATGGCTTCGAGGCAAATTATGGCCACAGAGCCTTTGATTTGCTCTAATTAAACTACTCTGCAAAATTCCAAAATACTTCTTTAGGGGAAGGCAACCAGGGAACACACTGCGACAGTTATGTTTTATAGTCCGTTGACGTCAATGAACAGCGCCTCAACCCAAATCCAACCTCACAATCTGTACACCTTGTGATTCCCTCCAGCATTATATTAGCAACTACCTTTGTATAAAATAATTATGGCGTTACTTAAGTATCTGGACTTTGGAGAGAATGTAGATTTCGGATTTGCAGTAGGGGTTCAATCTTAGAGTACTAATTATGAAAATTCTCATAATGTTGATCCTCATTGTCTATCAAGTATAGTTCACCCCTTTCAGAGAAATTGTTAAAAAGTATTTATCTGATATCGATATATGATCCCGAACCTCACTTGATTCAGAAGTAAATAGAAGTAAAAACAGATTCAAAGTGAATGTGAACGTAAAGAACAAATGATGCCTGAAATATCAGGAAGGACCTCGGCCCATTGGGATCCCCGCAATCCCGAGATCATTCGCCGTCTTGGACTTCGCATCTTCCGAGTTGATTTCCATGTCTTGAACTACTCCGTACCAAGCGCTCCTTTCCCTTTGTTTTCTACCCTTGATTGCATCGCCGGCGCTGTTAGATCAGTCGCCCAACATGCTCCATTATCGCACACAAGGGTACAACGGTTGCGCCGTGAAGTACTCTCCTTTCTTCGACAATAGGCTTGCTGTCGCAAGTTCATCAAACTTCGGCCTCGTTGGAAATGGACGCCTTCACATTCTTGAGCTGACCGCGAACGGAATTCAACCTTTAAAATTGTAGGTGGAGGGTATTACGAACCCCGCGGAGCTCACTGTCTTCCCGTGGGGAAATCCAGACGTATCGCTGACCATGGAACCCCCGTACAATCAGCTTTACAACACAAGACTCCCTCTACGACCTCGCATGGTCTGAAATCCACGAGAATCAAGTCCTCGCCGCATCAGGTGACGGTAGCATAAAGCTCTTCGACTGCACAGCGAATGACTTCCCCGTCTCAAACTGGAAAGAGCATGCGCGCGAGGTTTTCAGCGTGAACTGGAACCCCGTAGCAAAAGATCGCTTTTGCTCAAGTAGTTGGGATGGCACAGTTCGCATTTGGTCGCCTCATCGCCCGCAATCTCTTCTCACTCTCCCAACCCACAGCTGCACCTATTCTGCCTCCTTTTGCCCGCATAACCCAGACCTCATCTCATGCGTGACATCAGACTCGTATGTGCGTGTTTTCGATCTTCGCACTCCCGCATCCGCTTCAAACCATCTCGTCACTCAAATTCCTATCCATGCGGCTCCTGCTGCGCCCGCGATCCCCGGCCAGCCCGGTGGCCCTACCCCGCCTGCGGAGGCTCTAACCCATGACTGGAACAAGTACCGTCCTACCGTTCTTGCGACCGCGGGTGTTGATCGCGCTATTCGAACATTTGATATTCGTGCGCCGCAACAAGGCCCGTTGTGTACCATGCTTGGGCATGAATACGCTGTTCGAAAACTAGCTTGGTCCCCTCATCTTTCTAATGTTCTCTTGAGTGCCAGTTATGATATGACATGTCGTGTATGGAACGATCGGTCAGATGCGAACCCCGCAGGTGATATGGATATCATGCGCGGTGGTCCTGCAGGCCCCGTGGTTGGTGCAGAGCTGGGGCGCATGGGTAGACATACTGAGTTTGTCACCGGCGTGGATTGGTGCTTGTTCGGAAATGAAGGCTGGTGTGCCAGTGTTGGGTGGGATGAGAGTGTATATGTCTGGGATGTACGAGCGGCGATGGCATAGAACGGATGCTCGATGTATCCACTCATTTATAACCGTTTACTTTCGGAGACAAGGTTCTCCAAACCCCTGTCATAGCCTTGGGTCCCGATACCATATAAAGTGTAGCGTACATTGATCATTTTATTTCGTTATTTACATACCAGAGCATATGAGACATGTTACAGTGTGGAAGTACCGAAACAGCGTGCATATAGCCCCAAATTCGGGTTCATACCCTTGGTGCAACTTTGCGGCTAAGCCGCACGATGTGAGCCAGATTTTCTTCATGCATCATGCCAAATGATCGAATGCCAGATCAGACAGTCACGCTCTCGGTATTACATTCAAATTGGGTATTGCTGGGAGCGACCACACTTGAACTCCGAGTTTGCAGAGAAATACCTGCCAATTCCTGGCAAGATCCCGTTGAACAATATGCCTGATAAAGTGAGTTGTGTCAATAACCAACTTATTTGCTGCCAAGACGGCCCTCGAGCTTGGTGCGCTCGTTCTCCCGAAGCTGAGCCACTTCCTCCTTGGAAGCGTTGACGGCAGCATGCACTTGGTTGAAGGGGTTCTCCTCGCTCTTCTCGAATTCCTTTCTGCAGAGATCCATACGCTGGTTTCGGCGAAGACCAGGGTTCTCCTCTTCGATCTCCGGAAGACGTCTTTCCTCGAATGCGGCATAGGCGGCCTTGAATCGTCGCTCGGGGTGACGGTCGATCTTGGAGGTATCCTTCGAGGCTAGGGACAGAGCGTCCAGCGCGTTGTCGATACCAGTAGCACTGAGGGATGATCCCTTCTTGCTGGCGGGGGTGTCGTCCAGCTGTGAAAGGTCGAGACCGCGGGTCTTCTTCTGTGCGCTCTTCGCGTTGGCACCCTTGGCCTTTGATGGCTGTGAAGCTTCCTCTTCGGCTAGCAGAGCATCACGCTCAGCCTTCTTGCGAGCTGCATCGGCTTTCTTTGACTCGGCATCTTCTCTAAAGGTTGAAACCGCGTTAGTTTTGTAGCTGATAGTGTGTTTTGAAGACCCAAGTTTGCATACTTCTTGGCGTTGCTCTTAGATCCCTTAGACCATTGCTTGTCTTCCTCAGCGGCCTTCTTCTGATCTTCGCCTGCCTTCTTTGATGCGGCCGCGTCGGCTTTCTATGTGTCGCTGTCAACATTTATCCAAATGCCGTCATGGTGAGGGATGTGGCAGTAATAGTGGGGGCGGGGTTAGGAAAAAAAAAACATACACGAGCGTTTCCGGCGGCCTTCTTGGAGTTCTCTCCTGCTGCTTTCTTGCCTCCCATGGTGATATATGAATTCCAAAGTAAACGCTAGACGTGGTTTGAAGTATGGGTGAGAAGAGAAAAAAAGACGGAATCGATTTCTACTATATGATCCGATCCGCGAGGCTGTTATGCCGACTCCGACGAAGGCGGTAGCCTCTGGCCCGTGCGTCATTGTGCCAAGGGCGGTGAGTCGGGCTTGGTAATCTCCTATCTGACCCCCAGCGCGAGCTCCGGTCTTCTAGTTCCATCTACAGATTAACATGGCATTGGCATAGCGTGGCTCATTTATATGCTCTTGGATTCCAATATTGCTTACCCTCAATTTTGGGTCTATTTGCCTGGTCAATCGACTGGTGTTTCTCCCTAATGCTATGAGCTGATCGTCACCTGGCGCCATGGCTTTACTATCACGCTTCTTGCAGGCTTTCGCCCTACTCCTGCTCGCCATCGCAGTTTCCGCTGAGCACACCTCGAATTGGGCAGTCCTCGTCTCTACATCGCGCTTCTGGTTCAATTATCGCCACCTCGCAAATGTCCTCTCGCTATACCGAACAGTCAAGCGTCTCGGTATCCCTGACTCGCAGATCATCCTGATGCTGCCCGATGACATGGCCTGCAACCCCCGGAACGCATTTCCAGGAACTGTCTACAGTAACGCGGACCGTGCCGTCGATCTCTATGGCGATAATATCGAGGTGGATTACAGGGGCTACGAAGTCACCGTGGAGAACTTTATCCGTCTATTGACCGATCGCCTTGATAAAGATGTCCCGCGCAGCAAGCGGCTCGGATCCGACTCTGGAAGCAACGTGTTAGTCTACATGACCGGACATGGAGGCGACCAATTCCTGAAGTTCCAGGACGCCGAGGAGATCGGCGCATGGGACCTGGCTCATGCATTTGAACAAATGTGGGAGAAGAAACGCTACCACGAATTGCTGTTCATGATCGACACTTGCCAGGCCAATACAATGTACACTCACTTCTACTCGCCCAACATTATTGCGACAGGCTCCAGTGAAATCGACCAGTCTTCCTATTCCCACCACGCGGACAACGATGTTGGTGTCGCTGTCATTGATCGTTGGACATATTACGTGCTCGAATTCCTCGAGACGCAGGTGACCAGTGTCACTTCCAAGTTGAACTTGGGCGATTTATTCGATTCATACGATGAATCCAAAATTCACTCCCAGCCCGGTGTTCGGTGGGATCTTTTCACCGGCCAGGAGCAGGAGGGACGCCTGAGAACTGTTGTGGACTTCTTTGGAAATGTTCAGAATGTGGAGGTTGAAAACGCCAATGCAACTGAGCCGGGCTCGCTGAAGGAAGACTTGGCTGAAATTGCCCGTCTCGTTGAGAAGTGGCAGAAACGCGATGAGGAGTACGCAGATGTACTTGCTCGGAATGATACCGATGAGTCGCATTCATCTTCGTTGCATCTGAAGCCGAAGAGCAAGGTTGGCCCCACCAAGATGACCGAAGATGGCAGTTGGGGGAAGCGACTTGTCGGTCTCGCTGTTGTTGGTGCCTGCAGCGCAATCTGGATCGCTGGCTCGGTCTTGGGTCGCAAAAGTGGCTAGAGATGCAGCAGAGCGTCAACCTATACCTTGGCTCTCATTTGGGCTATCCTTTCAAGCCCATCCCTCATAACCCGGCTCTGACCACTGCACATGAGCCAGGGGTACATAGCATTTCAATGGCGCTAGGTGTTTAAACTGAATCATATTATTTGAAGTTAACGCATAAATATCCATGGATCCTGACAATCTTTAATTTTCCCCGGAGGACACTATGAAGGCGACCTAGCCTTTGGAGTATCCCATCCCTATGTGTAGCCCTAAGTCGTACTCCCTATTCAGGATTGACAGCGGAGTATGAAGTACTCTCCACTCTGTGGCGTATATGTCCTTACTGAGCATATGGTATGCGCTGGAGCTATTGAGTATTATAAGATATCATGTATAGTATGATGCAAGGCTCAATATGGAACGGGTATAGATGAGTAATTTCGCGTGAAGCACTTCGTACTCTGCACCAGATCGGGAATAACTCAGTCACAGCAAAAGAAGAGAAGATCAATTCAATTTCGAACAATTAGTCATTCCAGGAGTGAAGGAGTGAAACAGGGGAAAATACCTGGTCTTTGTCGAGGTGATGAAGAGGTATGGAATCCCGGCACGTGCCCGACGCGTCGCGCTTGTCCACTTCCCCGGCGCTACGAGAGTCTTGCTGCAAGGGCTTTCCCCCCAATAAACGTCCTCACAATTCACCTCGACAATATTCTTACGAGTTATCTTTCTTCATGAGCTGTCGCATGAGTATCTGAATATTCAAGGCTGGCCATGTATCTTCCCAGGCAGCTCATCTCCCACCTTTACCAACAACTCCTCAAATCTCACCACCCACTTTCCCCGCCAGTTCTGATTCTTGTGGCGCTAGAGCCAGACGCGCTATGTGCCTGTCGAATTCTTACAGCATTGTTGAAACGCGATTTCATCCCTCATAAAATCCAACCCGTTGCAGGATATGGCGACCTGTCGCGTGCGGGGGAGGAACTCGTCCGACCCATGCAAACCACCAACGGCGGCAGCGGCGGTGTAGTAGTCTGTCTCGGAGTCGGGGGCCTGGTCGATCTGGGTGAAATATTGGCGTTGAGCAACCCTGAAGACGAAGTCGAGGATATGGGGGGCGTGGAGGTCTGGGTGTTCGACGCGCGACGGCCGTGGAACCTGGGGAATATCTTTGGCGGACAAGCTGGGATAGGACAGGGATTGGAAGAAATTGATGCCAACGCGCGACGGCGAGGGCGCGGTGTGGACAAAGGCTGCATCACCAACTCTTACACGTCAAAAAAGGGCGGCATTGTCGTGTATGACGACGGAGACATCGAGGAAGAACTCCGCAATGAACGAGAAGCATATTACGCGTTACTGGAAATGCCAGATGTCGACGATGATGATGATGATGGGAGTGATGATGGCTCTGAGGACGAAATGCAAACGGGGTCAAAGAAGCGCAAGTCCTGGTCGGGTCGCGAAGACGACGATGAATCTGAAGGCGATGAGCCACCCCACCAACGGAGGAGGAGTAACTCGGTATGTATTGTCCCGCCGCTTGGAAGTTTCCAAAACCTGACAGGGTCAGCAGGGCTCCTCCGTCGCATCAACCCCGACTCGTCGGAAGAAGACTGGAATGAACTCGTCGAATTCGTCACGATCTGCGACACCAACAACCGACTCTCTATCACCACCAGAGGCGAAGCAACCCTCGGCACGCTCATTAAAGAAACGTTTACTTAATCTCAAGAGGAGACACGACTCTGTTCTACAAGCCTACTACTCCTCTGGAACATCATACTCAGAACCAATTTCATCCCTGGTCTACTCGCTGGCTTCGGAGCTCGGAAGAGATGACAATGACTTGCTTTGGCTAGCCATTGTTGGTGTCTCTAGCTTGGAACTCAGTGGCCGCACCATGACTGGTGTAGGTATTTCCAATACATCAGAATCCGGTGGCTCAGCAGGCTGGGGTGGCCAGCGTGGTGAACACATTCGCCAAATACTTCGCGATGAGGTCCATCGTCTGAATCCACCAGATCCTGCGGAGCCAAACCGTGATATTCGAGGGGAGATCAATGGAGTCATTCCTACGACCGCCAGATCACCAACGGATACATCCATCCGCCTTTCCCCCGAGCCCCGTTTTCTCCTTGTGCGACATTGGTCGCTGTATGAAAGCATGCTTCACAGCCCCTACCTCGCTCCCAGGCTGCACGTCTGGACAGAGAATGGCCGCAAGCGACTTCATAAACTTCTAGCCAAAATGGGTATCAGTCTGACCCAATGCCACCAATATTATACCCACATGGACATGGAATTGAAGCGCGGGCTGCGAGGCCGTTTGCTCAAATACGCTCCCATGTACGGGTTGGATGGACTTGTGCCGGCCGAGGGCACCTCGGGAGCAAGTGCCCGAGAGGGTTGGGGATTCGTGCGCTGCTGGGGCTGGAAGGCATGCCTTTCTGCAACAGATGTCGGTGTGATCGTTGGTGCAATGCTGGAAGTTGGGCCACATGAAACTTCCACTGCATGGGACTCTCATCGCTTGCCGCCAGCGCGCAACACCGACGACAACGAAAATGGCCAATCGGGCGAATCTGACCTGGCTAGTCTCCTCCCACGGTTCTGGTGTGCTTATGACGCCCTTTCATTAACCTCCGAGTCACCAACACTTCTCCTTGAGTCTTTGCCTCTGGCCCAGCATCTACACCGTGCTATCCTACGCACAGGTACCTCTTTGCTTTCCAAGCATCAGATCCGCCATCTTCGGGCATTCCGCATTGCTGTGGTCAAAGATGGACCAGATGTCAAGCTCTTCACGAACCCTGGCGCTTTGACGAAGTTAGCACTGTGGGTTGCGGAGGCAATTCGAGTCCAAGAGAAAGAACGTGGTGACTCCGTCAAAATCGGCCGCAAGAGAGCAGCAGGAACTCCTCTCGTCCTTGCCGGTCTTGACGAAGATCGTGATCTCTATGTCGTTGTTGGTACCGGTGGCGGTGGAGGAGTTGTTGACTTCGCTGCTATGTCTAAACGCCAAGAAGAGCGCAAGAAAAAGAAGGAAATCAAAGACAAGAAGCAGAAGGAGCGAGCAGAACGCCGTTCTAAGAAGGCTGCCGAGCGAGCCGAGCGAGAGGAGGAGACTGGTGCGGAAGATGAAGAGTCTGAGGATTCGGAGTCTTCGTCAGAGTCGGAGTCTGAAGACGAGGAGGATCCACGTGGAAAGAGGCATCTTCTTCGCAATCGTTTCGGCATTGCCTTCCAGGAGGTAGTCCAGGAGACGAATGCCCGAGTCCGCATTGATAGCTTCGAACATTGTGTTGTCGAGGTCCAAAAGGATGACCTTGGCGGCTTCCTTGAAGCCCTGAGCTTCCGCAGTGTGGTGGGCTAGAATCCTCTACAATAATTCACGCAGTCTACGACCAGTCATCTTTGTTTTCTTTCGATGCATGGGATGGCCTTTTGGGTGGAATTTATGGGAGAATACTGGGCTCTGGAATCGGCTGCATCATGACCTTTGCATGGCTTCCACGGGAGGCTTCTTTGCATTTGTTTTCATTCTTGCATCCGTCCTCGATGGCGTTTATGGGGTTTTCAGACATGTCAGGTTCTATCTAGTGCCATAGTTATCTTCGCATCGAAATCTATGCATCTTCGGCCTTCTCTCCGAACTACCACAGCTCCCCGCATATCCCCCGCATCTTTAATTCCCCGATCAACAGTACTTCTTAGCACGAAATCTCCTTTGACACTCAATTGCGAGAAAATCCAATAATTTAGAATCTATCGCCATGTCCCACCCACGCGAGTATTCCATCCTTCCCCGCGAAAGCACCCTTGCCAGTCTCCCCGCGGAGTATCCCACCGACGCGCAAGAACAAATAACCCAGATCCTATCAACAGCACCAATCAACCGTCTCGTTGTGCTAGACGATGATCCAACAGGAACCCAAACCTGCCACGACATCTCCGTCCTAGCAGTCTGGGACATCCCAACCCTAACCGCCGAGTTCCAAACCACAAAGCCAGGCTTCTTCATCCTAACAAACTCGCGCGCCCTCCCACCAAAAGAAGCAGAGAAGCTAATCCATGAGATTTGCACAAACGTGTCTCAAGCCGCAACTGCCACAAACCAAAAGGTCGACATCGTTCTACGTGGTGATAGCACTTTGCGCGGCCACTTCCCTCTAGAGCCTGATGTCGCGCAGCGGGTCTTCGGTCCAGCTGATGCGCTCGTTCTAGCCCCGTTCTTCTTCCAGGGTGGTCGCTTCACAATTGATGATGTGCACTATGTAGCTGAAGGCGAAAGCTTGGTTCCTGCTGGTGCTACACAGTTCGCTAAAGATGCTACTTTTGGTTATAAGAGCTCCAATCTGAGAGACTATGTGTTCGAAAAGGCCCCTGGGAGGTTCAGCGAAGACCAAGTGTGTTCTGTTACAATTGAAGAGATCCGGACTGGGGGTCCTCAGGTTGTTTGTGAGAAGCTACTGGCAGCACCTAAGGGTGGAGTGGTGATTGCCAATGCTGCGGCCGAGTCCGACATGCATGTCTTTGTTGCAGGGTTGTTACTTGGTATGGTTGAACGAATTTTGTTCTTTGGGTCTTTTGATTAACACTTTTCCAGCTGAATCCCAGGGCAAGCATTTCCTCTACCGCACCGGTGCTGCATTCGTCTCAACTAGACTCGGAATCCGGTCTAAGGCACCCATATCCGCCGCCGAGCTTCATTTGCCATCACCTCGTCAGACTGGTGGATTGATTATTGCCGGGTCATATGTTCCTAAAACCACCGCGCAGCTGAAGGTGTTGACCGATCGACGAGGCAGCACTGGTCAGCTGGCGATCATTGAGATGAAAGTCGATGATCTGATTGCATCTCCTGACACTGCACTACAGGCTGTGCAGCGTGTGGTTGAGGAAACTGAATCATATATACGATCTGGAAAGGATACGCTCGTTATGACGAGTCGGAAGCTTGTCACTGGTGGTGATGAGCTGTCCTCACTCAAGATTGGCACTGCAGTTGCTGAGGCATTGGTTAGTGTTCTGCGGCGTATCGAGGTACAACCGCGTTTTATCATCGCTAAGGTATGGGATCTGCTCATCTCTTCGTTTGAGTATTACCAAATGCTAATGTTGTATTCTTAGGGTGGTATCACTTCTTCCGATGCCGCGACTAAAGGCTTGAATATCAAGCGCGCTACTATCGTGGGTCAGGCAGCACCAGGTGTGCCCCTTTGGCGATGTGATGAAGATACGAGTCGCCACCGCGGTGTGCCATTCGTCGTATTCCCAGGTAATGTGGGCGGGGAGGAGACTCTTTGTGAACTGGTCGAAGGCTGGAGTTAAGTACTTAGATAGAGATGGTAGCCAGCTGTTAATGTAGAATCAGGCCTGTTATCAGATGCCAATAACACGTACAATTGAGAAAAAGCGACTCATAAGATAGATCATTGCATCTAACAGCGATTCATACAAAGATACTTTCTGGTCATCGTCATTCATTCGTTAAGGGTGTTTCTCATCATTGCCACCAAAAGCTCACACTGATGCCAGCCCTCAGACCACGAACATAATGCCACCATCCAACAGGAATGTAGAGGCATTCACCTTCGTGGAGAACAGTTTCCACGTACTCCGCATCCAAAAACCCGGGCCACTTCTCCTCCCATTCATCGATTTCGGCCGGTGAGAACTCAATTGCGGCCAAGTCCACTTTGGAGGTGTTTGAGGAGTCAATTGAATGACTGATCAATGGTCGAGCCCCAGTCACTGGATCGGGTTCAGCTGCCGTATCCTCAGATGTGACCACCTCCGAGCCCCGCGGGTGGATTTTAGACGCAGGCGTGTGCGGCGAATACAAGCGAATGTATTTTGTGCCAACAACTTGAGTAAAGATGTTGTGGTAAGGGTCATGGTGCAGAGGAGAGATGGTTGATGCAGGACCAATCCAAGTATTGATCAATGGGTCACTTGGAAGGCCAGTGAGTGATTCCATATCTGATGCACTATCATCCTCATCCTTGGTATCCTTTCGGTGATTCTTCAAGTCCGGGCGCATTTCAGATATTTGAGCTTTCGCCTGCGCTTGTTCATCTGCGCGCTTTTTGCTCTCATATACCGGTGTTCCGGGCTCAGGTCCTGGTGGAGTAATGTAGCAATAATCCGGGACACTGATATCACCGCGCAGGCTAGGTATCTGCGAAAGCAAGTCGTGTTGCGCCATGTAAGCCGTATCTGTTTCGTGATGATCGGTCTGATCTTCGTCTTTCTTGGCTTCACTGGGCGCTACCTTGCCATTCCAAAGATATTGATCCACAAATTGGGTGAAGGGTACGATTTTCTGTCCCCAATCCTCGTCGATGTAGGACCTTCCCGTCTCGATGGGCACCAGTCTGCGGCCTGCGAATGTGCGACTCCACCAATAGTCGCGCGAAGCCCATGGACGCGTTGTCCGAGCTGGCCAGTGTTCAATTGCATCGGTGATTACTAGAGGGGTCCGAATATTCTGGATATGGTGTTCGATGGAATCGAATGACGGCGCCGACACACGCGGGATTGGGTGTTCAATGCGAGGACTCGGGAACGCGTTCGGGGGAAAGAGGGGAGGCGATAGTTTTCTGCGCTTGGAACGCGACTCCTCCCTATCACTGTCGCGGTCGTCGTTTGGCTTCGGGGTTTCTGTGGCCGATTGCAACGCAGCCAGTAAACATTCGATCAACTCCTCGCGGCGGGGGGCTCCAGTCATGATTTTGGCCATGTCCAGCATTTCAACCACTTCTGATATCCATGGTGCATTTGACCCTATTTTGGGGCAAGGCCGAGGCTTCTCCAAATCTTCAATAAGTTGGGGGACATCGAGTCGCTGGTCGAGTTTGGCCGAGCTCAGGCGGCACTTGGTGATAATGATGACGCAGGCCTTAACAATAGACGCGTCGGTATAGAGTCGCCGCCAGTGGTCCTGCACATTCTTGAAGGGAAATACGTGTAGCTTTTTGTAAGCAAGGTCGAGGGCTTTCTGGGGGTTGAAGAGGAAGTCCTGCAGGTCTACCTCGCAGCGAAGAATGGGGTCGTCGGATTTTGGTTCGGCGATAAGGCTTAACGCGCAGGGGACAACCTCCAACAAGCTCATGACGAGGACAGCATAGAAGAATGAAATTTTAAACAAAATATGCTTCGCTTCCAAAGAGAGAATAGGTGTGTCTTGTGTGTCTTGAGGGAAAGGAAGGGGAAGAGAGAGAAAGATGGTTTCTTGATGTATTGCGGCCCAGAAAAAATCTAAGGCTCACCTTATTTACCTGAACACCCTTTTGATTCATTGATTTTTCATTTATCTCGAATATCTGCACTGTGAGGGATATTCTGAGTCCGAGAGTGTTCGAGTAGAGGTATATTATATTGTACAGTATGTTCACAGAGCTTTCTAATATAGACATCACTCCAGAAGGTCCATCACCAGCTTAGGAATCCGAGATACACCCTCACCTTGTTTCGCACTGACCGGGACAGCGCACACTCTGTCTTTCCATCCCTTTTGATGACCAGATGGGTGTTCAATCGACCCGTTCTGAACACCAGACAGATACTCTTGCAGAGCACGGTACTGAGCTTGTGTGTTTTCCAAGTCTGCCTTGGTAGCCACGACAAACCAGGGCTTCATATGCACCGGGGGCATAGCTAGGGGCGGTAAGGTCCCATCGGGGCTTGCATTTGGTGATAGTCGGGCGGGCTCGTCACTGTTTGGTTTCCATGGGCGTTCTTCTTGCTCGTTCTCTTCTTTGAATGGATTCCATTCAATAATTCTATCTTCATCTTCAGGACCACAGTCCGGATCGGTATCGCGAATTCGCTCATACTCTCCGAGTTCATGCCAGAGCTTTTTCAACTCCTGCACCGGGTCACCAACACTCAGGTCAACGACAAAGGCCAAAATTCCAGCCCGGTCGATGTGTCGCAGGAATCCGAGTCCAAGTCCTCGGTCCAGATGGGCATTCTCCACCAGACCGGGAATATCGGCGATAGTGAAGTGAGTGCGACGGGCCTTCGACTCTACGAGTGGACGACCCTTCATGTCATCGGTAATCACAGTACCGATGTGGGGGGAGAGGGTGGTGAACTCCCAGTTTCCAATCCGTGTCCGACTGTTTGTCAAGGAGCGTAGGAGTGTACTCTTGCCAGCGTTAGGCTTGCCGACCAGTCCAACATCTGCCAGAAGCTTGAGCTCAAAGTCGAGCTCCAGCATCATTCCACCTTCTCCGCGGGATGCGAATTTGGGTCGTCCCATCGTGCGTGTGGAGAAATGCGGATTTCCCAATCCGCCAGCACCACCGGCAGCCAAAAGCATAGGCTTCTCCATGGGCTTTGAGAGATCAAGCCAAATCGGTCCCTTGGGTTCCATGGCTGCTATATTTTGTCGGCGCGGGTATGATTTTGGGAATTGCACCATCAGGAAATCGGATGGCTTTGATGATGGATGTAGCACCCAACGGTCGTGTTGAATGGGATTGTATTCCGGCTCCTCCTCTAATTCTTCATTTTCGGCTTCAAGGTCATCAGGGTTACCCCAGACCTCCTTCTCTTCCTTGGAGTTCAGGGCTGATTCCTCGGCCTCCTGAATGCGAGCCCATGCCTCCTCAACCGGGTCGTAGCGACTCACTTCTCGCACCACAGTGCCAACGGGAACTTGGATAAGCACGTCATCTCCTCGTTTCCCGCCTTTGCTTTTGCCCTGGCCATTTCGACCCCGGCTAGCTCTGATGACACCTCGGCGTGCCAGTTTGTGGAGACTGGTCAATCCCTCAACGGTCTGTATGTAGATGCCTCCTCCACTGCCGCCATCGCCACCGCACGGTGGTCCCTCCTCGACGTATTTCTCACGGAGATAGGCGACACAGCCATGGCCGCCAGATCCAGCGTGCATTGTAACCCGACATTTATCTTGGAAAATGAATCGGGAGTAGTCCTCTGGAGGCGGGTCCAAATGCGACAGGTCTGGGGACGACTCGTCGGGGACAGCATTATTCTTCGGCGACGGCGGCTGGACACCGACATTGGTGCTTTGTAATCGACATCTTGCGACACAAGGGTTTCGTACAGATTGCACAAGCGCCGGGTTCCAAAGTGCTCGTCTTGAAAGGTACGGTCGTGTCGATAGGAAAAAACGGGCTCGTGGATGCGCCATATTGTGTAGATCACGGCTACCTCTGGCTCATAATGCAAGTAAATATTTCCTGTAGTTCAATCAGATCGATCGAGAAATGAACAAGAAAAGCAGAATTACCGGTTTTGAAGCAACGGCCAACACAAGCTGAGTGATGACTTCAGCGGATTTTCGAGCTGGCGATAAGATCACATGGCGATAACGCATCTATAACACACCCAGTCCATGCAGTATATTGAACCCGTTCTGTTCTACTCGCTTTTGGTATACTTTTTAGCCTAGTTTTTCATTTTTGTTTGATGAATTTTACTTAGGCGATCAACTGCCCTCATCTGACATGTAGTCCCGTGAAGGGCCACGACAGCTTCCCTTGTCATATCTGCAAGTTGCCGCTGTAACTCGGCCGATCCTGTAAACTGACCAAAGACCAAATACCGGAACGGCACCGCAATATAACCCTCCCTTGTTTGGTTTCGGTCTACCCGTGGACGTAGTCCTTTCGATGTAAGTTTCATGTCGAGTAACTAGCATACGAAAAGCAAACGATTTACTTGCATATATCCGTTAACCTTTGAACCCTAGCAACGCTCAGACCAAAATATATAGTCCATCATGAAGTCGTAGACGATGGACTTGAAGCCCTTGTCAAGTGATCATGGATAGTCTACGGGCGTAAGTTTGAAGTTTAAACCAGATTACCCCTACTTCCAAGGCCGAGTACAGATCTACGGCTTAGCCCTGGAGGTAGACTTCCTGAAGTCGGTCAAGAACCTTGGTATCATCGCACATGCGTGGATCAGAATGACCACATCGTGGCACTATGACCTGTAGACTCTATCATGGATCTAAGATGATCTCCAGGGCTGCTTCATTTCTTTTCTCTACTAAGAGCTGCAAGTGAAATCTATCCTGAACTTCAGAAGTCATGGAGTACCAACCCGACCGATCCGCCCAGAATGCTGCTCAAAATGTCATTCGAGCTGCAATGTTGAGCGAGGAAGGCACTAGCCGCAAAGAGGCATCCCAAAGGCTTGCTCAACAGTCGGAGGACATCCAGAAGCGAATCGATGAAATGAGATTCAAAGAAAGGGAGACCACTCTCAGATACAAGGCATACCCGCCCACCAGGATGGACAACAGTCCAGTTTCGATAGAATCGCAGGCCCACCATTCCTCGAAACATCGACGCTTGAACCCTGGCCAAAACCAGGACCAGAATGACGATCTCCGCGCAGAAATCAAGATAATGTCAGATACGATCAAGACCATGGAGGGCCAGATGAAGACCTATCGCGACCTTGCGGTCAGCACCTATCCCGATATGGTAAACCAAGGCTTGGCCGCGTTTGGGGATTTCATCCACGAGAGGCAAGACCATCTTTTCAATAAGTTCGAGGGCGAGGTGACCGACACAAAGACTTACGCTCGAGAGAGTATTGACTTCCTCATCAAACGTGTCGACAGACATGAAGAGCTGCTGCAAATTTCCAACCATCAGATGAAGCTGCAACATGAGATCACCCAATGCTTATTTGAGGCACAATACACCATCGCCGAACGGGTAACACGGTTGAACGAGCTGATCAATCGCTCGTCACAATTCTCCGGCTTTGGACATCACTGGCACCAACCAGAACCGCTACAGCCAGAAGCGGATTGGCCAGGAGCGCAACAGCCAGAAGCGCATCGGTCAGAAGCGCAACAGTCAGAAGCTCCACACGCTGAAATGCCAGATGAGCAATCCACGGAAACCGAGGTTGGAGATAGTAGCAAAGCCAGCGACACTTCTGAGTTTGTGGTTGTCTCAGACGAGGAAGCCGATGAACAAGTGCCTACCGAGGATGAGCCCATGCTCCCGAACTAGCTCCCCACCCCCGACAGTCCTGTTATCTTGCAAACGTTTGCTCATTTTCTTTGCTTTGGGGATTTATGGCAGGGAACGGCCCTGGGGAGTTATATCGCTGCTAGGAATATTTCGTATTTCTGTTATCACTACCTAGGTACTCAACCCTATCTGCAGAACAACCTTGAAGGTCGACGGGCAAGGTTACCTTTTATTTCGACCTACTTGATAGCTTATTATTGAATGAAGACGAGTTCAAGGTCAAATAAGCATGATAGCCAACTAGGAAGAACCATCCCTAGAATTTCTCTCTCTCGACAAACATCTTGCCATGTCCTCATGCTCAGGTAGTAGCATTGGCTGTATGATGTCCCCAAAGCCTACGTCATTCTCGATTCTACTAGAACATCCGCAGTGTTCTAAATTTCTAAAGTTCTCGTGTATATTCCAAGAGTGCATGGGTGAGAAACACCGGCACCCGATACCGACATGCACAAATGAGTTGCTCAAGTGCTGTTATGATTCTGTCAGGTGGCCGGACGAGGTAGTTAGGCTGATGCCGCAGAGATTTAAACAGCCTGACCCTCTGAATCATGTTACGCTGCCCACGGGGTCTTCTAATGATATTGTTATTAATGTGACTATATTCCAAGATTGAACATCCCAATTTGATATGAGATTTCACTCAGAGGGTTAAGTACTCGTGTTGCACGGAAAGCTTGCTTGCTACTGTAACTTGCTTCTCGAAGTCAAGAGAGTGTTCCATGTTTCAGTGTGAGGTAGTGTGGACAAGGTAGATAGCAGATAGGGAAGTATTGATTGCGTGGCATGATACTCCTGCATGTCGACATGTAAGCATGCGTAAGGAGTATAAGTTTCCGAGAAATGTTCGAAAGGAGAAAATTATATCAAGTACGACATACATCAATTGTACGGAGTATAGAGAGCCTCATTGGGCGAGGTATCAGTTGTAACTACAAGTAACCCGCAGAACATTCATGGATGACCGTGATTTGGAATTCTGAGATTTGAAATTTTAAGTCAAGCCGTGCTACCGGGTAGTAAACCCTGGCTAAACATCTGCAGCATCAACTGATCTGTGTATCCCGAATCTATGTGCTACTAGTAACCTTAGAAGGTTGTACTCTGTACGGTCGACGTATCATAGAAGATACAGCGATCTATCTTGATTGGTCTCGGCCCCCTGCCTGTATGTCAGGTTCATCACAGCTGGAATCTGTGACCCGCTGTCACATCTCTCGAGAAACATGCCAGGAAGGCGATCATATCTTAGCTTCGGGATAGCAAAAGTACTGTCGAGAGGGACGAGCTCTGGCCCATGTACTCCGTACTTTTGATTAAAGACTCAGCTGTCGAGAGTTCATGCACGCTCATCGAAGTCGATCGGTGGCGGTACTTTTTTGATGTTTGTTCCTTGGGTGAACTTAACGAGGCTGTCAGTATTCATGCATGCATACCCTTACTCTGCGGCTCGGGATCTGTAGCTTGTTTGCTTCATTGGATGATCCTTGCGGGATTGACTTCCTAGATCTGTTTAACCCAAAGAAGGCGTTGGCACCTCGTATACGTGTACTCTGTACTCCATACTCGTACGCACGGAGCATACGAGTATTCAACATACATACTACGCCACAGTGGCGCAACTAGCAGATCTAGAGCTGAACACTACGGAGTACTCGTACACTATGATCAGAGGCAGGGAAACGCGATCTACTCCGTAAAGTGATTTCCATTGCGCGACAAGCAGGCATCCAGCGAATCCAATTCCGTTGAAACTTGAGATGAGAATAGAAGAATTGATTACGATACACTCCGTACTCCGTACTCCGAAGTACCTACCTACGAGGTGTTCGACGCGATTCTACTCTGCACAAGGCGCGACGGTGACGACACACGTGACCCTCACTTGATCTCGATCGAGTTTCTAGACCACTGCAGGGGAATCGATCTCGATCGCATCTGGAATCGGCCCCAGAGAGTTTCGAATAAAGCAAGGCAAGAAAGTACGATGGCAATTGTACAGGTCCAGCTGAGAGAGACCAAAAGTCCGCGGGACTCGGCCCACTAGTACCTTGCGGGGGTCGCGAAGCAACCGGGTTCCGGGAACAAAGAAACAACGGCAGAAAGGCTCAAAAAGAAAACCAGGGGTGTGTTCACATGACCAAAGAAGGAATCAATAGTGTGAAAATCCTTGCAACGGCAAAAGGTGATTCGTGTCCACTCGCGGAACTTTTGTTTCGTACCCGTCACCGCGGCACCGGATCCCTGCTTTCCGCTCGCCACTGGTGGGGAGATGAGGCGATCGTTCCTGTTGGTTACAAAAATACCAGCGACAGAGCAATAATCAATATGATACACACATTCTTGAGTATGGCACTAATGTACTCCATAATATCTTTAACTGAGTACCGTGGAACTGTACTTTGGGTTCCGCGGTTCCCCTGGCGGGGAGTCCGATGGAAATGGGCGACCTATCGATTTGATTCGTCCGCGGAAATCCCGTTCAGCTGCCGTACCAGCGCCAGAATTCGCCTCGACTTGGTACGCACTATGCACTAAAATGGAATGACATGCAAGGTTCCTTGCGCCTCGGCCTGGAGTTCGGATCTTGACTGTCAGTACTACAACCTGCATTATGCATGACCTTTCTACGGATCTGTTTACCGATTCCAAAGTACATCTGTCATTCCAGATGCAAGTTCCAATAGCGTCGACCGATGAGGTTAAGAATTTTACTTCGGAATCTGACACTGGCTAAAACAGGGGGTCCAGATCGGGGTTTCGAGGTGTGACCAGTAATCGCGCCCTATAATCTCACTCCAGAGTGATGCTGACGATATGTCAAAGCAATTAATCCGACAGTCGAGCCACAGCCATTTGTGGATCTAGTCCGTACTACTCGTATGTCCGAGTATGTGTACTTGTAGATGTCTCTGAGTGCGGAGTAGTTTATACATCCTCGGAGTATGCCCAGGTGCACAAAACAGCCCTATTCGTATGTACAAAGTGTGCCGTCAAGTGATAAGCCCCACCAGGTGCCCAGGTGTCTAGACTCAAGGGTGGCGCAACGTCGTGAATGACATTGTAGGTTGCACTCTGTACTTCGTACTCCGTGATGATCCAGGAACTCCAAAATTAGGTGCCTCAATTTCATGTG